TCTTAGTTGTGATGTGACACAACTATGTACAAAATAACTATCGCCACCCTATTACGCATATAGTATGTCCACCCACAAGGTGGACTGACGACCTCATAAAGTTAGCGGGAAGGCGCTGGATGCAGGCCAACCGGCCATTGTGGAAATCATTGGGGGAGGCCTATGTTCAACAGTGGACGTCCTATGGCTGAAAATGATGATGATAATGATGACCTTATTACACATCCATCAAATTCATCGTAATTTTCTTTTCAGAAACTCGAAGATTTCCACGCAAACTTCGAGTATCTATGCATAGTGCCAGGCTTAGACGGGCATCACGGCCGGTTCAGGTCTCTGTGCGAGCGGTTGAAGATATCCGCGGCTGTGCTGCAGCCGGGAAACCAGTACCCGCACGAGACTGTGACAGAAACTGCTCAGAGGATGGCTAAGGTACGTAATGTTTAAAGTATTTGAAGATAAAAATAACCCCACGGTTTCATCGTTTGGACTATCTGATTCTGTCAACATAATAACCTTGGTAATACCAAGGCGACGCACATCAGACTATAGGTACTTCTTTGTTCCAAAAAAGCATTTATTACAACTGCATATGTACTTAGCCTGCATAAGTACGTGCTGTTAGAGGTCTCGTTACACTCGTCAGTTCTTATGACACAGTGTTTACTTTCTACTCAAATATTTTACCTGTACCAACATTATAAGAGTAGGCTCACACCCTTGATTTTTAGTTGACCGATAGTTGTGCCCGATTTTAAATTGTATGAAGAATCGGCCAAATCGAATCGGCGTAGTGTGCACTCCCATATATGCCCATACTGATCAACTGCTCGACAAACTATCGACCGACGAAAAATCACCGGTATGCGCCTACTCTTAATATCTAACTTTTGTCGCTGTTGTTCAGGTCATCATGCAGTACATGAAACCTAAGAAAGGTTACAACATTCTGGGGTACGAGTACGGTGTGCTGGTAGCCTTGGAAATTGCGGCTATACTTGAAAGTTATGGTATGTTACTTTAATAAGTTAATTTATTTTTCAAGTGCCATCTCTTCCTATGATCAATCTGAATTAGTGTACCTACTGCTCTTCTCATAATTTCACTTTTTGTATTCACTGATTAAAGTAATACATTTCTTCCACAGGTTACACTGGAACTCTGTACATGGTTGGTGGAACTCCCGAAGACATCCGGACGTCTTTCAACGAACAGTGGAAAGATTATGATGATAATGCAATGCAGAACGAACTTCTCCGGCATATGCACACTTTGATCACCCAAACCACCTCCCCTGACCTGGAAGGCATTCTCCAGAAAGCGAAAACCTGGTCTGAAAAGGTCGATTCTCTGATCGCAGACCTGAAAAACAAAGTGCCACACTCCATCCAGTATATGAGAAGCACCATAGAAGTGATATACTCCAGGATCAAGCAGTTGCAAAACTACAGCATCCAACCTCAAAAATTAAAATCTAAAGTGGTTCTTCTCCAAGCAAAACCTTACAGATCATCTCTAGAATCCCTCAAACCATATTCTCACCAGGAACCGTCCCTGATCAAGCTTCGAGCGAAGCTTCATTTGGCTCACAAAGACTTGAGCTGTTCCAATATCATCAACAGGTATCTGCACCCTGAAATCTTGGAAGAATATGAGAAAAGCAATCACTGTGTGAAGCTGTATGTGACCGTGGAGGAGAAATTGAAGATGATTGGTGTAAAAATAACTAGTAATGAGTAATTCTTGGATTCCCTAAATAAGAATAAACTTTTTTGGCTATAAACTTTGGTTGGTATTTCAACTGTTGACTGTTCAATGTTTTACAATTCTATTCATGTCTGTACTTACATATTTATACTGTGGCATTGTTATAATAAAAGTTTTTTGCATTATTTGTATTATTTCATTAATTCGAGTATAATTATTTTACTAACTAGTACCTAAGCTAATTTGGTTGACATTTGATCTTTCCAATCAGAGCGTCATCACCAGATAAGGTTACATTGGTAAATTAGGTAGTTTCGCTAACTCTTTTGTATTGCAAAGACCTAGGGACTAGGGAAATACCTAGGTATATCCCCCGCATAAAATATGGCCATATTACATTCAAGCCAAGAGATAAAAAATGAGTAGGCACATTAGTCAAAATTGCAGACAACTTCATGAAAGGGTGTGGTTCTTTTCGAGTGGTTTATGTCCAGCAATGAACTTTTAGAGGATTAAATTAATAAAATGTTAGTAAGTACCTTACATGACGAGTTAAAGGTAGTTCTGATTTTAAAAGAATGCAGACGCTTTTGAATATCAATCCTTAGACACTTGAGTCGTAAATTAATATTAATTAGCTACAAGATATTTTATTATCTGAACCTTTTGAACCTAAGAGTTCCCAATCTGCATGGCCAGTGCAAAGAATGTAGGCCAAATTCTTGAAATCCTCAATTTGTCCGTAGCAAAATTAGAGAAAGTCGTGCTCCTGCAGTGGTTAATGATGATGATTGATGACTAAATAACGTTAAAGAACGGTTTCGCATTACACAAGAATACAGTCCCGAGTAATCGTAGAACCAGTAGAACTTTTAGATCCGTATTGATTTAGATCGGACAAAGTGCGAAACCTCTCTAAGGGTTGCTGATATTTTCTATTTTGTGCCACCACGGCGAACCTCTTGGCTGCATCTCACCTGATGGAAAGTGATGATCAGGCAAACGCGTTCTTACGTCATAGTTATTAATTATTATTATTATCTTCGCTACACTAACCAAAGTAATCAGCTTACTTGATGTGACTGTGATTTCATAGACAATTGTTATAAATTGCAGATTTATTTTAATTTTAAATTATATTCTATTGCCGTTCAATGCAGGGCAAGTGAACTCTACATGTTCAAGCGCATTGGCCTTGACCTTGATAATAAACAGTAGGTAATAAATTATCTGATTGACTTAATATTTGAATTTAATAACTACAAAACTTATATCTACAATAGCACCGTTTTAGTTATTATGTTATTTTGTACTTGCATCGAATAAATACTTTTCTTTCTTTCTTTCAATGGTGTCGGTGTAGCATTCGAGTTACGAAGGAACGCGGGTTTGAGCCACGCCGCCGCCGGGCTATTGTGGTGAACAAAACCTAAACCATCTCAAAATATCCCAATGCTTTTGAAGTAAAGTTGCAAGTTAACAACACTGTAAGCGTACAAAATAGGCCTACTTTTGTGAAATTATTTCATAAAATGTACAACAATAACAGTCGCTGAAAATTTAGAAACAATAACATATCTCAAATACAAATTCCAAATATTTATTGCTTTATCAGCGCTTATCAGCGCTTTTGATCTTTTCACTACTTAGGTATGTCAAGTATTTTTGTATTAAAAGGAAGTGCGTATTACATTCAATTAATTAATTTTAATGTTACATTGTCATCGGTCGACTTTCACTTATATATTTGTCTTGACCTATACTCTGACGGTGTTGAATAAATACTAAGGAAATGCAAATAAAAAGTCTCTAACAGCTTTCATGGTTCCATAGAAAATAAAATAATTAATAATAAATGTTGTTTTAAACTTTCACGGTCACTAACATAATTATTGTTACTGACGGGATTGCTACCATTAAATAATTAAGTACCTAACTAACTTTCATAAAGTACTTTTGTCTTTAATACTTAATCGTCACAAGGAATACTTACCATAATTACAAGACATAAGGATAATCTTTTTAAGCACTGTATTTTTTGGAAAACCCACTTAACACTTTTTGTTTTTGCTGGGTTAGTAGTAGTTTCGCACGAAATTCGTGCGCACGAATGTGCGTAACGTCCCCTTTCAATAAAAATATTTTTTTAGTAGGTGTTTCGCCCGGATGTATTAAAAGTATTAAAATCGCATGGGAATCGACTCCTTCAAGAACTAGTAATCTCATACTACTAGTTCTCGGAAGAGTCGATTCGCACGCGATTTTAATACATCCGGGCGAAACTACTACTAAAAAAATATTTTTATTGAAAGGGCGTACGAATTTCGTGCGAAACTACTAACTAACCCTTTTTGCTGCGTTTCGCAAAATTTTTAGATGACTAGCCGAAAACTTGGTAATCCGAACACATTTCGACTTGTTGTGACTATTGTGACAAGTTCATTCAAAATATTTTTAACATGGTATGGACAGATCTGGGTACAAATTGTAATAAAAAATTTGCACATAGGTAAACCTTTTGCTTGAGGATCTCTAAACAGAATTTAATTAACGAACGCAATTATAAAGACACCTTGTACATGATTAGCATTCACTTGTTGTTTTACATCGCTACATTACAAGTGATTATTCGTAATATACAAGTCGTTTAATTTCCGTGAGTCCAAGAAAATGCCACCAGTGCCTGAAAGCGACGTGGGTAAAGTGCCCCAAGTAGACTTCAGGATGGCTGGTGACAGCGTGGTAATCTCTGGGATGTCAGGACTCTACCCTCAGTCCCACTGTGTGAAGGAGTTGTCTGATATACTCTACAATAAGGTAAGAGTTGACTGGTTGACGCTACAATCTAATTGTGTTCTGTCTCATCATTATCATCATCTCAGCCATAGGACGTCCACTGCTGAACATAGGCCTCCTCCAAGTGGCAGTGTTCTGTCTACTTCATGCATAATAAGCGAATCATGCCTCCCCCTCCTCACGCTGCGCTTTTCCTTAGGTACGCCACCTTGTAGGACCTCATAAAGGTCTTCAGGCCGCTACCAGGTCTTTAAGGAAATCATTTTGGAGGCCTATATTCAATCCTATGCAGGGGACGTCCTGTGGATGATGATGATGCCTTCCCAACCCGTCTGGCCAACGAGGAGAGTAAAATTATGGCAAACTGAGGGTAACCCTCTGGTAAATTAGAGAGAGTCTTCATCCTGAAGCCAAAACTAATGACCTGATGATTTCTTCAGGTAAACCCAATATCGTGTACAGGCACGCGCTGGTTAAACAACCACCCTGAAGTGTCTCAATACTCGGGCAACGTGCCTGACCTGGATCGCTTCGATGCCCAGTTCTTCGGAGTCCACTTCAGGCTTGGACACACCATGGATTCCATGTCCAGGAAGATGTTGGAACAGACCTACCAAGCTATTTACGACGCTGGTAAGTGATTTTCCGTTTAGGTGGTGAGAAAGGCAAAAAATATAAACATTAAACAATGTAGGCGAAGTTTGTCATTATTTTGTATAATGGTGAATTTTTTTTTAAGAATCAGCTGTTGATTCTAATGAAGCCTTCAAACAGAGTAAAAAATAAGAAGTACTTACCAGAAAACCATTTTCGCACTACAACCCGATAGAATTAACTGCGCACCTCACTTGAATTCGACTCTCCCTCTACTTACCCGTCCGTTCTAAAGCCTTGATCACACGTACCACAGAATCACGTGTAATCGGGTAATCGGGCGAGACAGTGCTCTCGGCCGAGTACTCGGTGCGTATGAACATAGCGCGCCGAGTGATCGGCCGAGTGCTCGGCCGAGCAAAGCGGCGAGACAGTAGCTCGCTCGACTCCCTTTCAACTTACTAGGCCGAGTGTCCACCCTCCTGCTTCCCCGCACTGTCTCGCTCGCTCACTCGGCAGGTCTGAGCGTGCACTGTCTCGCCACTCGCCACTCGGCCAAATGATTGACGTCACGTCCACAGATTAGAGAAAAAGAAAAGTCTCACTCAATAGAACTGAACTGACTGTGCTAATTTCAAAACACGTTTGAACAGCTACTCGCTTACATCACTGTCTTGACCGAGTAAACATTTTACTGTCTCGCCCGTTTACTCTGTACGTGTGATCAAGGCTTAAAGCGTCGATGAAACGTCACGGCTGCCAGGTTCGCAGTTAACTCGACCGGGTTGTAGGTAGTTCTAGCAGAACAGTAAAACAGTACCAAAGTTTACTTTTCTTTGTAGGTTTAAATCCTGAGCATCTCTCCGGTAAGAAAGTAGGGGTATATGTCGGAACGTGCTTCTCTGAAACTGAGAAAGCTTGCTTCTACGTAGCCAGTAGCAGGACTGGGTTTGGAATTGCTGGGTACGTAATACGTATTATAAACACATAATTTTATTTACGAGTATGTATACCTATCCATACACTACTTTTATTGACTAAAATGATAACCACTGTTACTTGAACTGCAATCGGAGTAGTATTGCTGCGTCATAGGAGTCCCTCTTGCCCTTCGAATATCCACGGAAGACCAGCGTCGTGGTGTTCCTTACGACACCTCGACATGATGCTGAGTGGATACCGTTTCGGTGATACGCACATTACTTACTTTATTTAGTTTTGGTTATCATTTTACTTGATATTGTTTTGTGTCGCTAAATAATAAACCGATTTAGATCAATATGGTATAGAGATAGTTTGGGTCCCGGAACAAAATAGAACAAAGGATCTAGAAAGGAAGGATAGTTATAACAGCATTTTAGTCAGCAAGTTCTTCTGTATCTACACTAATATTATAAAGAAGAAAACTAAAATTTTAAAATTACTATAGGCCAGTAATGTAGAATTAAACACAAAAATTGATTAAATCGGAAATAATTCATACAAAAGATTTTTTTGCTTTAATGGCTTCATTGGTTGCCCATTAAGACTCTCCTAAGTTTTCGACTTCGACGGAGTTGTGCTTAAGTGGTGGGGGCCCCCGAAAGGGGCGTTTTTTCGGTTTTCCGGCTTTACCGCGTCGAACCTTTCAGGCATACGGCTAGGCAACGTAGTCATGCAGGAGGATACAAGGAAGAGGGGCAGCCACAGTAGGTAACACAGAGTCGTTCAGGTGAGTGCCAGGAAGAGGTGCAGCAACCGCAGTTAAGGAACGGCTGGGACGAACAAGGATAGGCGCATCAAGCTCGTAAGCCTTGATAGGGTTACACTGGTTGAGGTGGCCCTTTTCAAGACTTGGAAGCCTGTGGGTAACAAACCATTGGACGTGGAGAGGGTCATTAATTATACGTATATTTTCTACTTTGCCGAACTTTAGCGCGAGAACGGTTTGTCCAAAACATATGAATTTGGTCTTATTCAATGCAGGATTAAGTGCCCTTCAACCGTCATGAAGACCACTTTTTGATAGGGTAAGTCCTTTACGCGGTATAACCGGAAAACCGAAAAAATGCCCCTTTCGGGGGCCCTCACCACTTAAGCACAACTCCGTCGAAGTCGAAAACTTAGGAGAGTCTTAATGGGCAACCAATGAAGCCATTAAAACAATAAAATCTTTTGTAGGAATTATTTCCGATTTAAAAGCTAATTCTACTGGACTACTAATGATCAAAAACTATTTACAAAATAAAAAATACGTCACCACCAGTGCCGCAGTCAGGAATGGTGCCCAAAAGGCTGGCAGCATTGCCACGTTGAATGGCCAGGCTAATTCTCTGACTGAAATAGCTGCCAGCCTTTTGATCACCGGTCGCCCGATGAGCCTCTTTGCCAGTTCCTTATTAAAGGAACGGGCGCTTGGACCCCATGGTCCCATAGTCTCAACCCCAAACGGCACAAATATTAACTCTCATTGAGGACTGCATATTTGCACCGCTTGGAGCAAATATGGGAGGTACCTCCTGTATGAGAGCAAGCGTATCCGCTTTGTTTGTTTGTTTGTTTGTAATCAATAAAGTTGTACAGACCGAAACTCACGCGGACCGTCGCGGGGAAAGATATCGTAGTTAATTTATTTTGTATCTTTCCGTATTTATTAATAAAGCAGTGAATAAATTATCAACCGAGTCAGGGGTTTCATTTCCGCACAGAATAAATTAATATTTGTATACGTCATGAACACCTGTTTGCATTGTAAAATATCTGGCACCGATATTTTTGAGGAGGAGATTTGAGGAACACTGGTTCGAACCCCGCTGCTGTACTATTTGATTGTGATGGACCCGCTCGTATCATAAGCATTTGTTTAGCTTAGCAAAGGGGGTTAACGGGACTTAAATCTTAAAAAAGAAGATGTCACAGTCTAAAATGACCAAGGATATTTTTTACAGATGTAGCAAAGCCATGTTTGCGAATCGCATTTCTTACTGGCTGAACGCCAAAGGGCCTTCCGTGGCCATCGATGAGTCTTGCTGCAGCTCCACTGTGGCCTTGGATCAGGCCTACCAAGCCATGCTCCGTGGCGAGTGTGATGCGGCCATTGTGGGAGGGGCCAACTTGACTTTGCACCCGCAGTCTTCGGTACACTATGGAAGGTGAGTTTTGGTGTCTTTCGATGACTATTATTTAACATTAACATTGAGTATGGAAGGTGAAGTCTTTCGATAACTAATTTGAAAATTACTACTAACTGCCTAAGGTCGGAATTGAACCCACGACCTTTCACTTGCCGGGCGATTGATTTTCCATCTGAGCTACTTAGACATTGGATAAACCCGTCGAAATTTCGATAACTATTCTTTATCTATTCTATATCAGGACTATAAAGATCTGCATGGACGGTAAAACCAAGTCATTCGATCAGGATGCTGACGGATGCGCGAAGTCTGACGCCATCAACGTGCTATTCTTACAGAAAGCGAAAGACGCTCTAAGGTGAGCACACTTTTAATTTGATTTTATCTGCATAGTAAGGTTCCTAACATGTCTAGCCAGCGTGGGGAGTGCAAACAAAATTCTCATTTACCTCTGGTAAATCAGAGAGAGTCGTCCTCCTACAGTAGTGAAGACATAAGTAATTCTAATAAAATTGAGTATCATCATTAACGTCTATTTATTTTTTTCAATTACAAAAATAGATTGGAGACAAACCAGTGACTATATATTTGTTTGCCAATTTAATGAATTAATGAATTTCAGGTCAGTTGACCCTGGCTGAATGGCTGAAGTTGTTTTCTGCTGTTTTACTAGATAATAAACATTTCTTTCAGAATTTACGCCGAAGTCTTGCACGTGAAAAGTGAATTCTTGTCTTTAGGCAACGAAAAGAATCCACAGTTCGGTTTCTATAGAGACCCAAAGATTGTGAGGAACTTTTTAAGTAAATTCTACGATGAAGCCGGAGTAATGCCGCAGGATGTAGAGTATGTTGAAGCTTTTGGATCAGGTAATACAACGTTTAATATCACAAAATTAGGCGTCGTTTTATGTAGGTTGCTTTTCCCTCTTACATTGCTATAGTGAAATATGTTTTATCTTACTTTGTAATCTTTATAAATGTCTGCAAAGGACAATGGGCAAAATGGTACCCGGCTCCAATAGATATGTGTCTAGTATCGTTTGAAAGGTCTTGCCAAGACGAACAACTTTTACTATGGCCACTAGCTTCAGATCTGGTTGTGTTCGAAGATAAACATACTTTTTTGCAAAATGGTACCCGGCTCCAATGGTTATGTTTGTAGTGTCATTTGATAGGTCTTACCAAGACGAACAACATTTACTATGGCCACCAGCCTCAGATCTGGTTGCGTTCTGAGATAAACTTACTTTTTGTGTAACCGAAGTATCATTCGTGTCCATCGTATGGTACTTAGGTTATGCGAGGCATGAAGGGTTTACTGCTCCAGCATCCTTCCTTAACTCTATAATTATTAATAGGGATAATTGTGAAATAAATGTTTTTATTTGAAGAACTACTAAGTACCCCCTTATTAATAGAAAGTTATACCTAGGGTGAACCTTGGATTAAAATAACATTTCCATACCAAATGACAATTTAAGCCAGAGTTCAACTAGGGTGTAACTTTTATTAATAAAGGGGTTGGAGTTTTATTACTTCTTAAAGGTTTTATTATGGATTGCTAAAGCGAATAAACCCACAAGACCCAATAAGTCCACCCACAAGATGGACCGACGACCTCATAAAGGGTGGCGGGAAGGCGCTGGATGCAGGCCGCCACCAACCGGCCATTGTGGAAATCATTGGGGGAGGCCTATGTTCAACTAGACGTCCTATGGCTATAATGATCATGATGATGATGATGAAAGCGAATAAAGGGCTAATGGCTTGGGTAGTTCATCGTAGGTATAATCCTTTCCTTTTCAATGTTTATTTTAGTTATATTAATAGATTCTCGCCATAGTACATACTCGTATACATGGATGATTGTGTTATACTTTCATATAATACTTATTGGAATTACTGCTTTCAAAACGTGAATTAGAACTGGCCCCATAGCAGACATTTTTCTACATCTAAAGGCCTTTTGAAATATATATTGGTTATGGCTATTGGAGCGGGTACCACTTTCCATACATTTGTGCCCATCATCCTTTTCAGTGGTGTGCCCAACAGGGCCCTTATACTCTTCTAATATGCAAAGCGAAAGGTCATTGACTCACTTACCCATCATAAAATCTTAGAAAATAGGTACGAGTACAATTGCTAAGAATTTCATTTGCATGGGGGTTCCTTTTAGAACGAAGGTGCAACCCCTAAGAGGGTAAAACGGAATCCACGCGTATGAAGTTGCGGACGGTCGCTAGTAAGACCATTCTTAATATTTTTTAATCTTATCATGATTTTAGCGGTACCCAAAGCGGATAAATCAGAATTAGAAGTGATCGACCAAGTGTTCTGTGAGAACAGATCGGATCCACTGCTGGTTGGGAGCGTGATATCCAACATTGGGTATGCCGAAGCAGCTACTGGGATATCAGCTATAACAAAGGTCAGATGTTGTAATTTTACAAGTATAGCGCATAACTAAGTAGAATCCTCTGCTGTTCCTGTGCGTCACTTACATTTGATGTTGTAACACGGCTATTTATTCTGAAGCACATCTAAAGTAGCGCTGATGTTTTGACGTAACAAAACCACCCCTCTCGCACTGCTCCACTGCCGTAGGAACAAGTTTAGTAATACGTTATACTTGTTAAACTATTTGTATTGTATAGGATCCAAAGACAGATATAATAAAAAAAATCGATATATAATAAAAAAAAAAAATACAAAAAAATCGATATTAATTATGACATTTTTGAGACTTCGTGGAATTCAGAATGATCAGGCATTGTGGCATATAAATGGGTTTTATTGTTTCTCCAGGTGCTATTGGGATACCACAATGGCCAATTAGCAGCCAACCTCCATTACTCAAAACCCCGGATGGACATCGCAGCTTTGAAAGATGGTCGAATCCAAATATTGACGGAGCACCAGCCCTTTCAAAGGGGATTGACTGCTGTGAACAGCCTATCGATTACTGGATGCAATGCCCATGTTTTGTTGCATGGACACTATAAACCAAAAGTAAGTCACTCGTACATTTTACATAAACAGCCAAATGGGGAGGTCTATGTTCAGCAGTGGACGTCCTGTGGCTGAAATGATGATGCTAATGAAATAGTCAACGCAGAATGTTTAGGACTTAGGTAAGGTCTAATAAAACAAGGTAGGATACCGATTCTATAAACCCGTCTTAAGTTTCAGAAAGGGAGCAACCTTTCTTTTCAGCTTTTCTCGAAGTGCTGGTAGAGTCCAAAAGATAAAGAGACAAGTAAAGAGCAAATTGCAGTCAAATGGGGACCCTGTTAAAATATAAAAATTGCACTTCATTTTTTCACATTCACACAAATATCGATCAACATGGATATCATTGGGGGAGGCCTATGTTCAATAGTCGACGTCCTATGGCTGAAATGATGATGATGATGATAACGACACAAAGATAAAAACTTACTGCATCGTAGCTCTGTATTATTCCAGGATCCAAGCAAATACAAGTCCAGTATCCCATACCTGGTAACAGTTTCGGGAAGACAAGAGTCAGCAGTGCAGTTGATACTGGATGACCTGAAGAGCCGCCCGATAGACCCTGAAGAGCTGGCACTGCTGCACAATATCCATTGCACGGGAATCAGTGGACATGTTGGGAGAGGATTTACTATACTTGGTATTGGAAGTTGAATAATATTCTCTAACTGTATGTAAGCCTTCGTCTTCTCTTGTGTGAAGCTTTATTTTGTCATATATCATCCGCTTTTTATTGGATGAAAGTAGATCCTTAACTTCGAACTCCTCCTATGTTCTTCTAATTAATTTCGTTGCGGGTCCAATGACAGTTTAAATTTCCCCCGGGACAAACTTGAGCTTCACTGGTTGGGTTTTTAATGCCGGTCAAGCTGCAGATCCTGGCTACACAGGAATTGCAGCGGTGGAAACGAGAGGTGGGAATAGTCCTGTTCCTTGTGTGATACGGTGCTGGGAGTACGGGGGCTGGTTGTCATCAAATAAATGACGACTATCATAGAATCATGATTCATAAACCCATCTACCAATTCTTTGTGTACAATTCGAAAATCATTTTTAGAAATGGTTGATTCATCTCCTGTGATTAAGTTGCTGAAGCAATGTTGTTGGGTATTACTGTAGCTATCTAATATCTATTTATTATCAAGTATATCTGCAATATTCCTACTGCATAATGCAGATTATTTCTTTATTTCTTTCTTTAGTAGACGAAATAGTGAATTTCCCAAGTTTTCCACTCAAAAGCTTTGTTAGTCTGATGAATTTTACAGTAAAGCTTCTTAGTTGTTTAGTTCTTTTGCTTATTTTTTTGGTATTCAAGACACGAATGCGGAGTTGAAGACGTACAGCATAACAGAGAAGTGCGAGTACTTCGACGCCGCTAAAAAGCCGCTGTGGTTCGTGTACAGCGGCATGGGCTCACAGTGGGCCGGCATGGGCGCGCAACTCATGCGCATCCCCATATTCAGCGAGGCTATACAAAGGTACGATTTCAGGAAATTAATTTTTAAAACCACTCCTTTTAAACGGTCTAAAAAGAATTTCCAAGACAAATTTAAAGAGCCCAAACTCGACACGTTTTGTTGTTTTATCAAATAGTTCTTATGGCTATCTTCCGGCTCCATTATCAGACCAGTCGGTTTGACCATAGACGATAGCAAAACGACAAAGCCACACCACACCATAACATTTTGACTAAGGGGTAGGGCTTAGTTGGGGCTTGTAGAATTAGGACGCGTAGAGTTAGAAGCCTGGCTCTACATGAAATCTCATAACATTTTCACAATGCGAGCTATTGTGGATCTTGGAAACATTTTACATGAAAATGTTTTTGATAGGATCATCATTTCAGTAAGACCTCCAAAAAATTCCACAAATCTCCACCTCCCGCTTTTTAAATAGCATATTTACTCGTAAATCTTGACATTTACCACAGTGGGATTTTGAAAATATGAATAGTGATAATGTAGGTAGAGTCAATGTAATCCAGCAGAAGTGAATAGCAAGATTATAATACCATCCAAGATTCTCAATTTAATTATGGTTCTCATTTTCAGATGCGATAAAGTGTTAAAGCCTAAAGGTATTGACATAGTCCACGTAATAACTTCTCCTGACAAGACCACGTTCGACAACATACTGCACTCCTTCGTCGGGATAGCTGCCATACAAATAGGCCTAACTGATGTATTGAAAGCTTTAGGTCTAGTACCGGATAAAATTATCGGTAAGAATTCTTGAACACATTAATAGTTATTTCAGATCAATGTGCATACAATATTTCATATTCAAATGAAGATTAGTTCAATGGGAATTTGCTTTTACCCGCGGCTTCACCTGCGTGAATTTTCGTTACTACAAGTCACAAAGACTATTACCGTTTATATGTTAGAAAAGTAATGAACAGTGAATTAATGTTTCACATTACGCCCATGTAAATTACGAATCGACCCTGCCACATAATTATATTGATCTCAGTCAAAAAAGGTTCTAGGGCGTGTAGAGTTAGAAGCTTGACTCTAGATATGAGATCGGATAACTTTTTCAAAGTACAAGCCTTACGGTTCATCTTGACGACATTTGAATTGAATATATTTTGGTGAGATTTTTACTATAGTATCAAATGTTTTAAAAACACCTTAAATAGGTCATAGCGTTGGAGAAGTCGGATGCGCGTACGCCGACGGCTGCATCACCGCAGAGGAGATGATCTTGTCCGCTTACAGCCGGGGCTTGGTGTCCATAGAAACACCCTTTATCCATGGCTCCATGGCGGCAGTGGGTCTTGGGTACCAGCAGGTAAAAAAACACTATTTTTGATAATAATTTCAAACGAAAATACTTCAATGCTGATGTAATTTCATAAGTTGTTTCTAACAGAAATTGTCTAAAGGAACCAAAATTTCATTTTGCAAAAAACTCGACCATAAAAACCCCGGTTTTGTAAACATTTTCAGATTGTGAAGATGCTCCCTCCAGAAATAGAAGTGGCTTGCCATAACTCCTCCGAGTCCAGCACCATCTCAGGCCCTGCTGGTGTGATGAAGGAGTTCGTAGCTTCTCTTACTGCTAAGGGAATCTTCGCTAAAGAGGTTGCTTGCTCGAACATTGCCTACCATTCGCGGTACGTCGCTGATGCAGGTGAGCTCAAATATCTGCGTTTCAAAAAACTTTGGAAAATTCTACAATTTATTGTTCATTCGTTCGTTTCAGCCGAATGACGTCCACTGTTGGACAAAAGCTTCCCCCAAGGATTTCCACAAAGATCAGTCCTCCCGCCCGCCCGCATCCATTCACCTCCCGCGACTTCCACCACGGTTATTGTAATCAAATTAAACAATAAAAAAAATCACAGACAAAGACATTAGAAAGAAAGAAAGAAATTAAGATTATTTATCTTTCCACAACTAAACTACGAGTAAGTAAGTAGCTCAAGATTCAGCATCATTTAATCAAGATCAGAAAAGCGATGAATCCTTCAAGAGTAGGTAGTTAGTTATCAATACATAATTTTTGTTCTTTGTTTTAACTTCCACCCAGGGCCAACCTTATTCAAGTATTTAACAGAAGTTATGAAAACCCCAAAGCCACGGAGCGAAAAATGGCTCTCTACATCCGTTCCTCAAGAACGATGGGGCGAACCATCTGCCAAGTATTCTTCTGCAGAGTACCATACTAACAATTTACTGGTGAGCAACCGTATTTATACAAATTCCTTGTTTTAACAACAAACAATCTTTTTGAAATCAATCATTTTGAAATGTTTTTTTTATTGTTTTTGTTAAGATTAATGTAGGCACCCTTCCCTTTAAATATTAGCTATGTTCTCAGTATGTTTTGAATAAGCGTTCTTTACTAACTTACATATTTTTATAAGACGACGGTTCTAAGTATTCGGGTGGTATTGTTATGGTCAATCTAATAATTATCGAAATACATTTCAAACAGTTATAGGAGCGATTTCCCAGCAAATTAACCTACCTAATTTGATATGCTGTCATTTTTGACGATTTTAGAATCCTGTGCTATTTGAAGAAACATCCCGACTGATTCCACCCAATGCAGTTCTGGTGGAGATAGCTCCTCACGGACTACTGCAAGCGATCCTCAAACGCTCGCTTCCATCAACTTGCAACAACGTTACTCTGACTCGGCGTGGACATCCAGATAATAATTTATTGGTATTGGAAGGAATTGGAAAGTAAGTGTGACTGGTAGTGAATCATCCTCAACATTTCAGCTTGGAGCAATCCACTGATGGGCTTAAGCCGCTTCTTCAGACACTGTCAGCTACCCTTCAGTCTATCTGTCCATTCAAGTTTCACATTTTGTCTTACTATAATAATATAATGTATATTACATATTTCGTAAAAATATCAAGCTCGACTTAGAGTGAGTTGCACCATCTTATTTTGACAGTAATTATGACGATAACCGGTGCTTTTTGTATGGAGTTTGACAGATTTTTGACGTTTGTCAAAGTTAAAGTAAGATGGTGCAACCAAGCCTTAATAGTATAAATAAATGAAGTAAGTAAGCAAGTTTATTTTAAAATCCATCGGCAGTTAATGCCTCCTTGTTAATTATCGAATGGTAGTCCTAATATTTGGCGGCAACCGTAAGTTGTTCATCCTTCACTGAAAAACAGCTCTACAATCTTACAAAAATAATAATAACCTACTTCTGGCTATTGAAACAAAGATTCCCATTTACAGATTGTTTATGGAAGGGTACAATCCGAAAGTGCAAGTTCTGTACCCAAAGATCGAATTCCCTGTTTCAACCGGAACACCATTTCTTTCACATTTGGTGCAATGGGTGCACAGCGAGAAGTGGTAAGAGGAGCTATCTTTTTACCTAAAATAAACTGAAATAGTTGTTATGGTTCTAATTCTTCTAATACCAGGTGCGTTAAATGTTTTCAGGAATCTCCCATTATACATATCAGCTCGTAGGAATATAGCAGCAGCAACCAAGTACGTTATTACTCTATTTGATGAAGAACATCGCTATCTACGAGGAAATGTCATCAGGGGTAAGGCCAATTTTGTGATTTCCTAGAATAGTGAAATATGCAAGAATAAACACTCTTTTAGAGGCTTTGATTCCCTTTCTTTCTCTAAACTTCACCTTACTCCGCTACAAGAGTGGCTTTTTCAGCAGCATTCGTGAAATCTTTATGCGTGCAGTTGTTGGGTCCGTGGCCGAGTCCCCCAGTGTTCGACGCACCCGTGGTCGACGCCCCCGGTCAGTTAAATTCGATTTGAAGCAATTTTTAATCAAATGTACAGTCAGGCACAAAAATGTTTATAAACGAATAAATATTTATTAGGCCAGTAGAATTAAACACAAAAATGAATCTAATGAAATGAAAATAATTCCTACAAAAGTTTTTTGCTTCTTACTACTGCTGGTTTTGGGTTAAAATTTTGCTCCCAGATTGCATAAATAGCGTCAAACATGCATAGTTTAGTATAATAATTAGCTTGTGAAACTTTTTTCGTTGACTGTACTTAGTGCAAAAGCCGAAAAAAATATGATATTAAATTTATTTAAATCGAGGGCATCCACCACGGGTGCGTCGAACACTGGGGGACTCGGCCACGGACCCCAGTTGTTTACCTTACTGTTCAATGAAATTTTTTCCGAAAACCTTTTTACCTCAGTATAAAGATAATGTGTTTTAAGGACGAAACGTGTATCCGTTTGCGGCGGCCCTGGTCGCAGTGTGGGACACTTTAGCGATGTTTACTGGGGAAACGAAGAAGAAAATGTCTGTGAAATTCAACGCAGTCGAACTATTTGTCCAACCATTTCTTAATCATCAGACCCCATTAAAACTACAGGTATCTCTTCATAGAGGAACTGGTCGATTTGAAGTGAGTTTTCTTTATTATTTTAGTCTATACTAGTCTATACTACTTGTAATAATTATATATGCGAAAGTAACTTTGTCTGTCTGTCTTGCTTTCACGCCTAAACCATTTCGATGAAAGCGAGTGATTTCAATGAAATTTGAGAGATATTTTGAGTACCGAGAAAGGACATAGGATAGTTTTTCACGGTTTTTGAAACAGGGACGCGCGAGATAAAGTTTTTCTGTGACAGACAAAATTTAATGCGGGCGCAAAGCTAGTAGATCATACATGAAGCTTTTACATAAGACCAGCTCCACATATTGACTCAAACGTTGGTCCCAATGCCACTCGTCTAAATCTAGAAAATAGTAGGTATTGGTACCAACGTTGGGATCTTCACATACTGACGACCCGACTAACGTGGGTACCTACCAATGGTACCTACATTGTTCGCAGCAATAGGCAGTAGCGCCAATGTTAGAAAAATGTGAGAAGAATAATATGTATAATTTGATTAAAATGTTTTCAGGTAATGGATGGTATTTCAAAAGTAGCCACTGGATTTATTTTTGCCTCTCAAATGAAACATTCGCATATCATGGGTTCAGAACATAGCATAGCAACCAAAAAAGAGGACATGATATTCAGCTGCCGAGACATTTATCAAATGCTTAATGAAAGAGAATATTGTTACAAGTAAAGTATCATAATTTACTTAAAAGTTTTAAAGTAGCATTGTAACAAAATATACCTGGTGAAACAGTTTTTTGGAATTCTATACCTACTACCCAAATGTACCTGACCTAGTTATAGCAGATTTTTTTAATATCTTTATTGAGGGCTAATTTTACTTCCATCTTTTCGGCTATTTCAGAGATGACTTCCAAAGTATTCAAGAAGCGAATGAATCTTTCACTGAAGCCAATATTAAATGGAATGGAAATTGGGTAACATTTATCGATGGTCTACTGCAATTGAATGCTTTGAGTCTAAAACGCGATGGACTATCACAACCTGCCTACATAAGAACTATCACAATTGATACTAGAGAGCATACTACTGAACAAACCAGTGGTGATGGAGATTTGATGAGAGCAAGAGTGGATGAAGTAAATTCTACTACGAGGTACAATAATAATTACATTTAAAGTTAAACTGATGTATGAAAAGCTTCATCATCACCATAATTTCAGCCACAGGACGTCCACATCGTCCACTGAACATAGACCTTCCCCAATAACTTCCACATCGCCCGGTTGGTAGCTGCCTGCATCCTGCGCCTTCCTGCTTGCTACCTTTATGAGGTCGTCGGTCCATCTTGTGGGTGAAAAGCTTATTCCGACCAAAATCCGATTCTCATTCGCTTACATGTATGTATGTCCCACCTAGGTCTGTACCGAACCTAGAACCTCTGATTTCAAAGAGCTCTACTCTATCTTATCAATTAACTATTGAAGAGTGGTTATCTTCATCAGTATTGTTTGTTTTCAGCTGCGGTGGAGTTTCAATGAAAAATATACAGTTTATAGACTTACCTCCATCTAAAAAAGAACAGTTGACACTCAACGCATTAACTTTTGTCCCGCGTTTCCAATTAGACATGACTGATGTAAGTAACTAATTCACTTTATTATTGTTGACGTCAGTTCAATAAAAATTACAAGTCTAAATGTTGAATCTTTTACCAGGTGAAAAGTTCGCTACAAATCCTTCTACAAATAGTAGCAGAAAATGATAACAAAGACGTTATAAAAGTGCTTGATGTACTCACTGATACTGAGCACGATACTAAAAATGATGTGAGAAATATCATAGACGAAGGATTACAGGGCATTAAAATACAGTACGAAAAAATAACTGATCTAGAACTGAAACAAAGAAAAGGGAAAAGAATGCCGAACGTCAGCGTAACTTTACTTCAACGACTGGTGTTAGACACTGATGTAAGTATTGGTAAATCTAACACTAAATATTTAGGTATTTTTCTTATGCAACCTATCATGGGCCGAATTTTACCAAATAGTAAAGATATAGGCGGCTAGAAAGTGAAATATAGACAATGCCGTTTCCATTTAACATTGCGTCATTTCATTTCAGATGTTACAACTTCTAGCTGGAATTCTGCCACCAGAATCATTCATAGTGGTTGCGGAAAACAGTCCCACCTTCGACGCTGAGTTTTCACCTTTCTATCGGGTCGTATCTTCTCACAAAATTGGAAATACTTATTTGAATTTAGCTCGTTGGTCAACTGCAGCACAACCGACCTCCAGAAAAGTCGTTACAGTTCGAAGTCACACTGATCTGGCTCTACTATCATCATCTAGAAATAACTTAAAACCAAATCAGCAACTCGTTGTGGTCACGTCATATCCACCTGTAGACGGAATCAAGGAATTGGTCAGCAAATGGAGAAAAGATTCCCATCATAACCATGTCTATTTGGTTATGTTTAACCACAAAATCGCTGAAGAAAAAAATATGGATATGATCCCAGATCTAAATCTAGCAATTAACGTGCTAGAGAACGTGAGTGTTTTTGCATTGCATTTCGGCAAGCAAAAGGAAAAAATTTAAGGAAAAATTGTATTTTTCTTGATGTTCTAGGGGATATGGGGAGGAGTGTATTACACTCCTCTGGCGGTGGAGGGATCCAGGGTGGTGCACCGCAATGTGGCCCTCCAGTGTGAGAATATTGGCGACCTCAACTCCCTACGTTGGTTCGAAGTGCCAGAACCTTCCAGTCCTGGGATTGGAGTAACGGTATGAGTTGTAGCTTCAAAACAAAATTGCTTGTAAATTGTAATTCATTGCTTGCTTTTAATAATAGGGGAAATTGTGATGTTTTGTTCTATCCTATTGAAACAACTGAAGTCACAATCTAGGTGTTTGACTACTGCTCAAGGCGTCTAAGATGGCTCAATCCGGTGATTTAAAAACACATTTTTCCAACTTAGCAAAATAATATTCTTAACAAATTTTCAACTTTAGGTTTACTTCGCCGGTCTCAACAATAACGATACGAAGAAGGCTATAGGCGTGCTCCCCACTGTAAATAGCGAGGTGCAGAATTCTTACGGGATGGATTTCAGTGGAGTGACTGATAGGTACCTATACATATTTTGATAGTTTCATCAGTACAAAACAAGTATTTAATTTTATTACAACAGGATATCACAAATCAATAATGTCGCAATACAGCACAAGATAAACATAAGTCAAGAATATAGACAGTGCCCCCATTGTTGCAATCATCTGGTCCTATCTAAGACCACAGTCAGAATAATTACAAACACATAATATCTCATGCCGTATCTTAATGAAGGCCACCACGCTGGTTTTCAGTATGTCGTGTGATCAACTTGCTTAAGTAAAAACCTTATACAGAAGACTTGCCGTATCTCTGCGGAATACGCAAAAAAGAAATCGGAGAAATTCGTAATGGCATGTTTTATTTTAGGGGAGTACGCGTAATGGGCATAGTGCCGAGCGGATCCGCTAGCAAGCGCCTTAAAGGCTTGCCGCAACTGCTGTGGCCAGTCCCGGACCACTGGACCATGGAGGAGGCGGCTACAGTCCCGCTGCCTTATGCCCACGCCTTCTACTGCCTTGTAAGTATGCCTAATTTGCAGCGATTGGTAGAATAGAGTGGCTATTATTTATGTAGGTACTTGCCTAGCGTCCTGATAAAACCAGTTGAGTGTGGTTTCTTGAATGCATGCAACTGAATCAGATAAATTGTGATTAATGGAACATTTTCAGGCAATCAGATGCAAGATATACGCGAATCAGAGCATCCTGGTCCATGGCGGCGCAGGCGCACTGGGACAGGCCGCCATCGCGATCGCACTCGCGAACGGCTTGGAAATATTTACCACCGTCAGCGATATGCACAAGAAACGCTTGCTTATGAGATTGTTCCCCGAGTTGAAAGGTAATGTTTTTAAGTATCAGTCAGTCGGCCGTTTGGTGTAGTGGTTCGAAACGGACTAATTCCGGAGGAAGCGGGTTCGATTCCCGCACAGTACAAACATTTGTGTGCATGAACTTATTTGTTTGTATTGGACTGGGTGTTTTCTATGTACATATAATAAGTATGTATTTACAAAAAAAAAAGCATTTAAGTATGTTTATATCCGTTGTCTAGTACCCATAGTACAAGCTTTGCTTAGTTTGGGATTAGTAGCGCAGTGTAAAATGTCCAAGGATATTTATTTATTTATTTATCACGTTTTTAAATACATATTATGTGGTGCAAAATGAAATTAACACCATTATATCAGCCTCTTTTAAAGCTTTTAAGCTCCATGTGAAGCTCGCTTCCATCGTCAACCTGTGATAAAGCTTTTCCTGTGTGGGTAGGAAAAATCACAGTCTTGCATATCGTTAATATCGTGTTTAACCTATTCGCTAAGCCACGGCTAAGGCTGAGTTGCACCTTACTTTGACTTTAAGAAACGTCAAAAATCTGTCAAATTCCATACAAAAACACCGGTTATTATTATAGTTACTGTTCCTGCGCGATTAAACGGAACAGTCCATCCCAAAAAAAAAAATAGTTACTGTCAGCGCTCCTGCACACGACGCCGCTACCGCGCCGCTGCCGCGCCGTCGCCGCACATTTGCACTGTCCATACGCACCGAGTAAAAGCGCGACGGCGCGGCGGCGGCGCGGCAGCGGTGTTCACGCGGCGCGTATAAACAGTGTAGCGGGGCGGCGACGGCGCGGCGCGGTGGCGGCGTCGTGTGCAGGAGCCCTTAAAGTAAGATGGTGCATTCCAGCATATTTCTTTAAATGATTTTTTTTCTTTTTCAGAGGACCAAATAGGAAACTCCCGGGACAACAGCTTTGGCGATATGGTGCTGTCCGTCACTAAAGGTGAAGGCGTCAATCTTGTCATCAACTGTGTCAAGGGAGACCTAAGAAATGTGAGCATTTAAACCTGAAATCTAAGAGTAGACGCACACCGTTGATTTTTAGTTGGCCGATAGTTGTGCCCGATTATAGGCGTAGTGTGCGCACTCCCATACATGCCCATACTTATNCCCCCCCCCCCCCGGAGCGGTCAGGGGGTCTCAAAATTGTTTGAAAAATAATTTTGAGACCCCCTGACCGCTCGCTTTTTAAGGTTCCGTAGTCCTGACAAGGAACCCTTAAAGTTTCGATAAGTCTGTCTGTCCGTCCGAGGTTTTGCTTGGAAACTGTTAGCACTAGAAAGCTGTAATTTTGTGGAGATATGTATAATTAATATTAATCACGCCGACAAAACGGTAAAATAAAATTTTGAAAAATATATTTTTTTATTGTAGCTCCCATACATGTAAAGTACCAACGAGTGGGGTAACGTTATATAGGTCCTTTAAAATGTCTTAGGGGTTTCTAATTTAGGGATCTGTTTGCAAATTATTAAAGTTAAAAGTGCCATCTTTTGTTCGAGTTGGACGTAATTTATTGCTACTGAAACAACTACGGTACGCACGCACTTGGCTAATTTTTATTTTTTCATTAATTTCTCGTATAATGTTACAAAGATGATGTCGTAGGAACCGAATAATTTCAATCTATACAACATTAATGCATTTGCATAATTAGATTTCGGACAAATCTATAACTTTATAACTTTACTGATTTTATTATTGAGGTAGATTTTAGGCCCTTTTCGACCCCCCAGGTCGAAAAACACTGATCTAAGGCATAACTTAATAAAAGATTCATAAATAAATTGACCACAGTTAAGAACTTTTCAGTCTGAACTGAAGCATTTTAGTGAGAATCGAGATTTAAACCTCGATTCTAAATATTACAAACAATCACAATCATGACCAATTTCGTTCGTTCAATGCATGTCACTTTAGTCTGATTCTTAGCTAGTTATAGGCCAGTAGAATTAGATTTTAAATCGGAAATAATTCCTATAAAAGATTTTATTACTTTAATGGCTTCATTGGTTGCCCATTAAGACTCTCCTAGGTTTTAGCCTTCGATCATTTTCTACTTTGTCCAAACTTACTTACTTTTTGTCCAAAACATATAAAGGTCTTATATAATGCAGGATTAAGTGCCCTTCAACCGTCATGAAGACCACTTTTCGATAGGGTAAGTCCTTTACGCGGTATAACCGGAAAACCGAAAAAACGCTTCTTTCGGGGGCCCCCACCACATAAGCGCAACTCCGTCGAAGTCGAAAACCTAGGAAAGTCTTAATGGGCAACCAATGAAGCCAATAAAGCAATAAAATCTTTTATAGGAATTATTTCCGATTTAATTCATTTTTTTGTTTAATTCTACTGGCCTATTGTTCCATTTTCTTGTTCTAGTGATAGTACCTATCAAGTAGAGTATTTTGTAATGTATCATGTTACTTATTTTATCATATCTAACTACATCTGTTCTTTCAGACTTCCATCAGATCCACTTCAAGCCTGGCTGTCATTTTGGAAACCCAAATCGATGAAAACTTCAATTTCGGGATGTCCCACCTGTTCGGGGATCGGAGCTACATAACTGTTAATTTCTCGTCAATGTTTACGCATAACATTTTTGATAATATGAAAGTAAGTAGACAGATTTGTATGTGGCACAACTTTTACTCATATAAGCTTTGGCTAGTTACAGCTTACAGCCATTGAGTTATAATGTACTACGTAGTAGGTACTTCAATGGTTACAGCAGTAGTGCTTACTATTAGGTATTATGTGATTACAGCTTCTTAGGCTATACATTTTTGTCGCAATACAACATGATGATGCCATATGTTTAAAAAAACTCGATGTAGGTACTGTAAATTGTCTGCCTACTTACACAATAGCCAGTGTCAAGAAATTTTATATTTCCTTAGTAATAAATAAGTGTTTTAAACCAGAATTATTACATCGCCATCAAGTCTAATGGTAGAGCCTTTGAAACTTCTTGTACAGAAACTCCAGTTACTCGTGAGTGAGGGTATCTCGCGAGGGTACGTGCGTCCGCTGACGCGCGTGTCCTACCCTCCACACGAGGCGGCGCGTGCGTTGCGTTTGCTGGAAGCGAGCGGTCACCGCGGACGCGTGCTTCTGCGACTTGCTGATACCACGCCGACTGCGCATCCTAGGTAATTAAAAGTAATTTAGCACAACAAATTACTTGACGGCACAACATCTTACAGTGAATTTTGGCCTCCAACAATATCGGCCAGTTATCGACGTGGAGATGTCTCCCCAGGGGTACATGGCACGGCCAACCGGTCACCGGCCACTTGATCATCCCAAGTACGGCTACTGCAAGGCTATGTCTGGCCAGCGTGAGGAGCTTTGGCTAAATCTTCTTCCGGTAACTCTGGTAAATTCAGGGTCGTGCTCGTGCTTCTGTTGTGGAGACTTAATGACATATACAGGGTGGAAACGATAAGTGATCTCACCCGATTATTTCTAAACTATACAAGATATCGAAAAACTGGTTACTGATCCTGAAAGTGCTTCACGAGCTCTTTCAAACGGTGCTAATAATAGGTTTCAGAATAATCTGGAACTATCCGAAAATTCAATGTTTCCAGCTTCCATACATTTGGTAAAGTTACATTATTTTAAAAACTACACAAGATATCGTAAAACTGGTTACTGATCCTAAAAGTGCTTCACGAGTTCTATCCAACGGTATCAATATCAAGTTACAGAATAAACTTGATCTATTCCAAAATTCAATGTTTCCGTCTTCCATACATTTTCTACTATCACAGTCATTGCACTCATCTATTGATAATTTTATAGCAAGTAAAACCTAAAAGTAATGTATTTCACAAATAATTTTAAATAAGATGCAAGTTACAAGTTTATTTAACCGACTTTTTAAGTTTATTATTTAACAAAAAATAAATTACGCTTCTAATATAGTGTCATCGCCATACATTTAGTATGGAAGCTGGAAACATTGAATTTTGGGGTAATTTCAGTTTATTCTGTAACCTATTATTGGTATCGTTTGAAAGAGCTTATGAAGCACTTTCAGGATCAGTAACCAGTATTTCGATATCTTGTATAGTTTAGAAATAATCGAGTGAGATCACTTATCGTTTCCACCCTGTAGAAGAGTTTGCTGGTGTTGACCATACATTCCTCTCTTTGGGAGTGGATGGTGGCGTCGTGAAAGTTATCAAATAATATTCTCTCTTTTCAGAATTACCTGTTCACCAGATAAATCCCATCTGGTATTCTGCGATGACGAGTATCATGGTCTGCAACTAGCTCAAAGACTCATTGAGCGTGGAGCCAAGAAAATAGTCCTACATCTTCCGACAGCTCCTACTTCTATTGTTTTAACGAAACAGTAAGTCAACCAGTCAATCGTTAAGATAAACTCCTTTGGGTTTATTTTCTATCAATTATTATGTATGTTAATCAATTTTAGTACTAAATTGCTTTTTATGTGCTGTGTATAAGCAAGCCTACGGGGACTAGTCCCATTAATATAGCAAGAGAAATGTTTGCCTTGGAGTAATTGGTGAATCATGGTTTTAATCACTTTGTAGATTCTGGGAAAAGAAAAACATTGATGTGCAGACTTCAACAGTGGCTTTGAACGGAATTTCAAACATTCATACCTTGTTGAAAGACTGTGTGACCAAAGGCCCAATAGAAGGTATTTACTTCGTAGCTACAACAGAGAAGAAAAGTAATCAAGAAATCTTGAGTGCGTTGGATGTTTTATCTAGGAAGATATGTTTGTCTTTAAAGTGAGTATGTTCATTGCTCTTCTCAGCATCTTCAAATCTTGAATTTTGAATGTTTATAGCAATCACACAATTAAATCTATTCTTGAGACTGGATTTAAACTTGAGTATCGTTTCAATACGGGCTGCAGGTATGTAATAAGATCGCTTTCAAATATTTTTGCAGATACTTTGCCATTATGAGTATCGACAAAGAATTTGGGAATCGAACCTGTATTTCGAGGGAGCAAGCCCGTTTACCAGCTACTAAAATTATACTACCAAAAATAAACAGGGTAAGTTTCATTACCTTTTAGCGTCATCCTTCTCCAACTCCGACAACTTAAAAATAATTTTCCAAAACAAGTTTTGATCTGATAGCTAAAGGTGATGATGCTAATGGTGATGGGGATGATGATGATGATACCGCTTTCAACTTTTCGCAGTTGAATGCCTCAGATGAGTCTGAGATGGCAGTTTCCTGGAGCAGCGCACTGGATGCCTTGGAAAACGCAGTGAGGTCACCCATAACCGTTGTTCAAGCGCATCTTAGATGTGACGAAAAACTAGGGCTATTGCAAAAGATAGTCGCTACAGCTGGTAAGCATAGTTGTCAGCTAACTGTACTACCGCTAGTAATATTATGTAATTTGAAAACAGATTTCGATAACAAATCCAACTTACCTTGATTCTAGAATAATGAGAAAACTACTGTAGATATTAGAGTTGAATTAATATCCTTGTATGTTTACTCAGATATAAAAATTAAAAGGGATGTAGAAGACACTACAATTCTAAGAGACATTGGTGTGGGCCAAGAAAAGGCGATGAACGTTGCTGCTCTATTCAAGGATGAATACCACATGTGCTTGTCCGCAGACGACATCCCTCTGCTAAGCATGAAACAGTAAGTAGATGGTCTATCAATTCATCATGAATTATTATGATTAGGTAGCTAACTCCACAATAAATAATTTCAAGGCGAAACTTTTGTAAGATGAAGTCGGTTTAAAATGCTGAATTTTCTGAAAAAAATCTCATTATCATTATCATCATCATCATTTCAGCCACGTCCACTGCTGAACATATATGCCTCCCCTTATGCTTTTCACGTTGATCGACTGGTAGCGGCCTGCGTCGAGCGCTTCCCTGCTAAATTTTTGCTAAAAATCACAATTTTTTGAAATTGCACAAAAATGCTCATCACCATTATTCAACCATCCATTATATCCATTGAAAAGATGATGAGAGCTCATAAGAATTTTATTATAATAAAGTGACTCATTTTGTTATGATAACACTGTGACTATTTTTTGTAGAATCCAAGAAATTGACCAAAGCAGTGGGACAATATTGAAAGAGGTCAAAGGTTTGGACATCTTCTTTACCCATGTGGATACCGATGAGTTAACGGCTACCACGGAGATGGTGTTTATGCCCACTTTACTCTGTGCTACTATGGTAATCCTTGTCTTTTTTCTTACTTGCTTACCTTCTTCAAGGATTTGCTTTTTGCTCGTAGTAAAATGAAAGACGAAAGTGAAAAAATTAACTCTAAGAATTTACTAAAAATTTACCTTAGCATCAGGCTAAAGAATATATGCCCATGCACTATTTTATGACTGCTGAACTTACCTACTCTTACTACTTGTACCGTTAATAGGCCAGTAGAATTAGATTTTAAATCGGAAATAATTCCTACAAAAAATTTTATTGCTTTAATGGCTTTATTGGTTGCCCATTAAGATTCTCCTAGGTTTTCGACTTCGACGGAGTTGTGCTTAAGTGGTGGGGGCCCCCGAAAGGGGCGTATTTTCGGTTTTCCGGTTATACCGCGTAAAGGACTTACCCTATCGAAAAGTGGTCTTCATGATGGTTGAAGGGCATTTAATTTTAATCCTGCATTGAATAAGACCAAAATTATATGTTTTGTACAAACCGTTCTCGTACTTATCTTCGACAAAGTAGAAAATGTACGTATAATTAATAACCCTCTCTACGTCCAATAGCTCGTCACCTGCAGGCTCCAAAGCCTTGTAAAGGGCCGCCTTAACCAGCGTATCCCTGTCAAGGCTCGCGAGTTGGATTCACCTATCCTTGTTCGTCTTAGCCGATCCTTAACTACGGTTGCTGCACCTCTTCCTTGCACTCTCCTGAACGACTCTTTGTTATCTACTATGGCTGCTGGCTGCTGTCTCTTCCTTGTACTGACTTGGAATCCTGCAGGTAACGAGCCATTGGACGTGGAGAGGGTCATTAATTATTAGTACATTTTCTACTTTGTCGAAGATAAGCACGAGAACGGTTAGTCCAAGATATATGAATTTGGTCTTATTTAATGCAGGATTAAGTGCCCTTCAACCGTCATGAAGACCACTTTTCGATAGGGTAAGTCCTTTACGCGGTATAACCGGAAAACCAAAAAATCGCCCCTTTCGAGGGCCCCCACCACTTAAGCACAACTCCGTCGAAGTCGAAAACTTATGAGAGTCTTAATGGGCAACCAATGAAGCCATTAAAGCAATAAAATCTTTTGTTGGAATTATTTCCGATTTGATCAATTTTTGTTTAATTCTACTGGCCTACTTATAAAAGTTTAAACAAACATTTTTCTGGTTTGATCTAATAACGATGATGAGACGAGCTCTTGCTTGCTACTAGCTAGATGTCTTCATCATCCAGATAAAACTATTACACTTTTACAGAGAGACGATGAGATCGACATGAATGCAACCACGTTGTGCATCGTCCCAGGGTTGGAAGGTCACTGTGAACGCTTCAGGGAACTGTGTGAGAGACTCAAGTTGGCAGCATTAGTCTTGCAGCCAAGCCTTGACTTTTTGGATGAAAGTATTCAGGAGACAGCTAAGAGATATGCTGAGGTGAGTCCGAGTTTTCGATCACAACTATTTGCAAAACTAATTTATAGTACTGCAAGTATCACTAATGATTGGGAATAATAAGTACGGTTATCTAAAAGGGTACATCCGATTCGTCCTAATAATGTTGAAAATTTTCTCGTTGTCTAGGTAAATTATATTAATACTGCCAGAAAAATATGACTCTTATAGGTGTGCCAATAATGATTTCTCCTCCAGTTGAACCAAAATACTTTTTGCTTGTTATTTATCACCGATCATTAAAAAAAAACGTTTTTTTTTTTCAGATCCTGCTGAAGAGAATAAATTATAACGAAAATAAGAAGTTTTACCTAGTGGGCTATGAGAGTGGAGTCTTGGTGGCATTGGAATTAGCAACAATACTGGAAGGACTTGGTGAGAAAATCAGACATAAACACTTAATTAAATTGCAATAGTATAAATTTTCTTAAAAGCTAGCTTCTCTCGCTCTCACAGGACACTCGTGTATTTTGTGTAACCCTTGGTTAAGCTTATTTCTTTTCACAGGATACGATGGCATCGTTTACTGTATTGGAGACGCACCAGAACAATTCAAGATGCTTCTTGAGGCAGAGCTCCAAGGATTTGATGAAGACGGATTAATCCGTCACATGTTCGGCTTGATGGGCGGGAAGTATGGGGTGGCGTTCAGCGAGGGTTCATCGTGGGAGGAGAAGGTGGATGTATGCGTACGAGCGTTATTAGGCCGTGTGCCGCAGTCTGCGCAATATGTGCGCAGTCAGTTCAACGCAGCGTTGGCACGGCTCATCCAAGCTACTCAGTACACCCCTTGCCTAAAACCTTTGCGCTCTCGCCTCATCCTCATTCGTCCTAACAGCTTTAAATCCCTCGACCCTGAACCTTTGCAAAAGTACTCCCATCAACCCATAACAGTCCACAACCTGAGTTCAAGTCTCGCGCATGCGCTGAAGGACCTACGCTGCGCTACCATCATCAACCAACATCTAGATCCAGAATTAAGGGAAGAATTCGAAAAGAAGAATCTTTGCGAAACATATCTTTTGAATGCGGATAGTTACATGACCATGGAAGATTTTGATGATGAAGGCAAATAATTTAGAAGGATTACTTTTTGTTTTAGGGATTTTGGGATTANATTACTTTGTGTTTTAGGGATTTTGGGATTATTAAGTTTGTTACTGACTGTTGAATAAAAAATTTGGAGAAACCTAAACTTTTTGTAAAAGATACAATACATAAATTAATAAATAGCTTATTGGAATGACGTCTTGTTTTGTTCATTTTCCTTTTCATATTGATCTGCAATGTGATCATCATTAAAGTATAGTATGCTCCATAAAGTCAATATCTTATAAGCTCTAAACTTAGAAATTAGGTAGGTGATTGAATCTTAAATACCTACTTAAGTTATTGACCAGGTGCAATGGGTTCGAATCCCACAGGCAGAACAAAGAAGGTTATGATCATGTTATGGTCAACTCCCGGGCAAAGAGAAAGAGTCCAGAGCACCGATTACGGTAATTTTTAACGTCTCCAATCCAGACACGCTTCTCGATTCTGCGATACGATTGGTCGTTCAACAGCGTACGTCAGCTGTTTTGACCAATCGTATCGCAGAATCGATGAAGCGTGTCTGGATTGTAGACGTTAAAAGTTACCGTAATCGGGGCTCAGTCCAGTCGCACATTCAAAATTCAATACCTACAACAGTGAAACAGCCTATGCTTTAAATTTTTAAACAGTAAAAAGCAAAAATCATAAAATACTGCTGTAATATAAAATCGATTTTGGCCTAAATCGGAACAAAAATCAATATGCTAGAGCTGTCAATGTCAGTCAGCTGTCATTTATTTATGTGTTCATCCAGGGTGAAGAAACTTCCNTAGGGATTTTGGGATTATAATATTAAGTTTGTTACTGACTGTTGAATAAAAAATTTGGAGAAACCTAAACTTTTTATAAAAGATACAATACATAATAAATAGCTTATTGGAATGAAGTCTTGTTTTGTTCATTTTCCTTTTCATATTGATCTGCAATGTGATCATCATTCAAGTATGCTCCATAAAGTTGATATGAACCTCCTCTGTTGCAAATTGTCTATGGTACCTTAAGAATGATACAAGTGACATCTTTGTGGAAAATATCTTGATCTTAAAATAACAGAAATGTAGCTCATTTATTAAGTTGAATAAAGCCTAGTTTCTGAAGGCCGTATCTTTTCATTTGTAACAATTTATTCAACTTAAATTGTGACAATGTCTCATAACGAAACTGTGTCGTCGAGTTCCATCACGAGAGGTTCTCGTTATCTAAATCCGGAAAAAATTTCAACGGATCCAAGTACGCACGGTGCAGAGCTCCAATGGAGTCATTGGCTGCATACATTCCAAAACTTCATATCAGAAGAGATAAGTAACGCTAGTCCTGACTTGAAANTGTAACAAAAGTCAATATCTTATAAGCTCTAAACTTAGAAATTAGGTAGGTTATGATGTTAAAAAATGATTGAATCTTAAATACGAGGGGCGGCTGATAATTTCGCGGCCTAAGGTACCTACTTAGCGATGAGTAATTAGCTTGTTACTCATGTCACTCACTAGTTGTGACACTCAGTAGTATTATAAAAAGCAATCACTAATTAAGTTTGCACTGATAGTTCAATTTCTATCGAACAAATGACATCACCATGTCCGCCGAATCTAGAGATTTGCGGAATTTCGACACCGCGCGCCGCGAACATAATTCTTCGTAAAGAAGGAAAATAAACCGAAAGACATTTTTGAAGAGATGTCATCGGTTCTTCAGGATTCTGGACTTTCATATACCATGGTTAAAAAATGGGCCCGACTATTTCAACACGGATGAAAGACCTGTGAAAACGACCCCCGCCCTGTCACGATACTGAGTGAAGGAAACGTTCAATAGTCGAAAAAATCGTTCCGGCTGACCAAAGAATTACATCGTGGCAGATAGCTGAAGAATATTTCTTTATGTTTGCGAGGCTATTGTACAGAAATGACGTGGGAAACTGACACGCGGATTGCTCTTTCTGCAAGACAACGCGCCCGTTCACGCCGCACGTATTGCGAGGCCAAGCCCTGAAAGACACCGGGTGCTCAGAGATTGACCACCCACCATAATTATAGACAAGACCTATTACCTAGCGATATTTTCCTGTTTTTTGATTTGAAAAAGGACTTATGGGGCCGGAGATATGCAGATGACAACGAAATTGGTTAATGTTGGTCGTCATTTTGAAAAAAAAAAAAAATTTAGGTGGTTAACCCTTATTCAAACAAAGGTAGATATATTACCACTTCGTTTACTTTTAAAAAAGGATCCTAATATTCGATATGGTAATACTTAAAGATATCGTGGTCACTTATTTATATTTTTAAATATATTTTTTTACTTATCTATGCCATCTTACAACTTTTCAACGTCATTTGTCACTGTCAGGTAATGTCAAAGTCAACCAAACGGTTTTGGTGTGAAAAATTTCAAGTTCTTAGCGCGCTTTTTTGGTATTTTTGAAACTTTGTTCAACGAAAATTCTGAAAAGTGTTTTTTCGATTCAAATTCCTAAACTATAACATTTATTGTATAGTCTCACTTAAAGGCGGCGTCTGCAATTGATTTATTCATATAATTTAGACATTTTAAAGAAGTGGTAAATAGTTTACCACTGTCCGATCCCGTCTTGACAAAAGTTTGATGATATATAAAAATACTGTTGTTTTTTGTATGTAAAACTAAATAAATATTTGGAGAAATTTTAAGTTTTTTTGATAACTAATTTACGTAACGTTTTGACGTTACGTAATAAGTGAATTGTTAGTTTCAGACTCAAGGTAAGCATAATAATAGTAAGCATAATAACTTAAATTAATAAATGTTGTTTTTATTAAAACAATAAATTTATTTAATTCCCAAAATATTTAATAAAATATAGGTAGAACCAAGAGGAATTCACTAGTCAAGAACCAAAAACAAACCAAGATGGACAATGGTAACTATTTTACCACCAACATTTAATAATTGGTAGTCATGAATGGATAATGGTAAATTATTTACCACCCAAAAAACTACCCCTTCCCCTATTTTTTTATAAATTTTGATCAAAAATATGAAATTAGTGACCCTCAATTACCCAAAATCCACTTCAACTTTGTAAAAAAAATGCATACCAGCTCGCATTTGAATAAGGGTTAAAAGGCATTGTATGCGAGATTTAAGAAATGTATTTCATTTGAGGAAGATTATATTACAAAATAAAAAATAGAAACCATTTATTTTATTTCATTAAGTACCTTAGGCCGCGGAATTATCAGCTCGTACTTAAGTTATTGACCAGGTGCAATGGGTTCGAGTCCCACAGGCAGAACAAAGAAGGTTATGGTCATGTTATGGTCAACTCCCGAGCATAGAGAAAAAGTCGCACCAGTCGCACATTCAAAATTCAATACCTATCACTGTATCCTTTGCTTAAATACTGATGTAGCTGTAATATAAAATCGATATTGGCCTAAATCGGAACAAAAATCAATATGCTAGAGCTGTCAATGTCAGCTGTCATTTATGTGTTCATCCATCTGTCAGGTGTCCTCTATTTCGTGGTGCAATGCGGTGAAAAAATTGCAGCATTTAATTGTAAAATAAGTTGCATTTTCACTAATCGTTATTAGTAGGGTCGTTTTTATTTATTTTTTGTAATAAGCAAACACCATGCCGGAAAGCGGTAAGTTATTCCTACTTTATAACCTTATGGTTGAACACGTATGCAGTGGATGATATTAATAATTATTTTAGGTGAGATTTATACGTCTGATAAGACCGGCAGCGATGAGGCCGGGGATGGGACAGCTGAGAAGCCTTTTAAGACCGTTCTGCAGGCCATGCGACACGCTGGAAAGGAGCCCTTCCCTACTATTTACGTCGACTCGAAAGACGATGGGAAACAGTATGACGTCGCTGCGAAGTCCCAATTGAAGAAGATCCAGAAAATATGGGTCAGAGAGAACTACAAAGCGGCTGATAAAGCGAAGGCCGAGGAGGAGTCCAACGACAAGAGACAGCAGAACCTTGAAGATGCGAAGAAAATCGAAATTAAAGAGGATCCAAGTCTGCCGAAAGCTAAAGTCGTGAAGATTTTCGAAGGTAAGATAAGATGACACTCTAATTTATGTATTAGTTCCACAATAACATTGTAAATAACTATATTAAGTTCAGTATAAAATGATACTTGAGCCTGTAAAAACTCTATTTGGTCAAATATTTTATTTCAGTAGATCCTATTCATCATTGTGTATAGTTTTAACGTCTGCCTGAATTGAAACAGCGTATCAATGATAGCGAAAAGAATAGTTCGTTATTTTTTGATGAAAATATCAAAGTATTAATCAACTTCAAACACACAAACACTTGTGTAAATAGTCACAATTAAAACTATTTGTGTGGAGTTAAAAGCTGGATGCTGAAATTATTCAACATGTCAATGTTTAATTCATTGATTTCCATTTCAATACATAATATAGGTGCATTCATTAAATCAAAACTATATGTAAAATATTGATTTGTCTGTTTTAATTTACATTTTTAAAATTAAATGTTGCATGACCTTGAGGCTGATGCAACACTGTAATTTCTCCCTCCATACATCCAATAGTTACTATCTTGGTGTTACTGGTAAAACCAAATAGCTATCAACTGAGTCACGATTGCAATTCTGACTCATACTTAGCATGTAGACCCAATGCATTCTAGTATTCAGTCAAGATAATAAACTTTAGTATTTAACCAGTTTGTAAAGATTGGCATTAATATAACTTTTCTATATGTTGTATAGACAAAAAAGATAACCCTTGTCAATATTATTATCATTTCAATAAATGATAAACGCATTGGAAAAAAGTCAAGAAGTCAATTTATGCTTACTGTGTTTACTGAATTGATCATCTGTATATTTACTATAGTAGTTGTTATGAGGAAGTTTCCTCACCTACTTTTTTGTTTGTTATTTCCCTTGTAATCCCTTTGAGTCAAATGTGATCCACATCTATGGTTTATTTTGTCAACAGTAGTTGTAAATTAATACACGAAATCCTTCTCGTTACTACTTTGTTTGTGTGCAGTAAAATTGTAAATTGATCTACCAAGTGCTCTGTAAATATTTATTTCTTCTTTCTTCAGCCTCCGAATACCGTGGCCAGCGCATATGCGTCCGTGGATGGGTTCATCGTCTCCGAAGACAGGGTAAAGCCCTAACCTTCTTAACTCTCCGCGATGGTTCCGGATACCTGCAGTGTGTACTCCACGGAGTGCTTTGTCAGACGTACAACGCTCTTGTGCTGTCAACGGAGTCATCGGTGACATTGTACGGAAAGTTAGAAGCTGTGCCAGAAGGAAAGACGGTGAGTTTCGTACTATAAAGAATGTTTCCTACTACATTTCCTCGCCTTAGAGTGAAAACCTCAGGAATGCGTTTTTATCATAATTATGCATTTTACCGCTGGATTCAGGCCGCCACCAATCGGCCATTGTGAAAATCATTGGGAGAGGCCTATGTTCAGCAGTGGACGTCCTATGGCTAAATTGTTGATGATGATGATGATGCATTTTGGTCAATAAAATTAATACAATACAAATTTTGTAATTTTCCTAAAGACAAACATTTGCCTATTCTAAACTGCTCTAGATTAACTATCTACATTTTGAGTCATATGTGATTCAAGGATCCCTAAAGTCCATATTACATTTTCCAGGCACCAGGAGGTCATGAACTCACAGCCGACTACTGGGAACTGGTAGGCTTGGCTCCGCCCGGTGGAGCTGATGCCATTCTCAACGAGGAAGCCTTGCCCGACGTGCAGTTAGATAACAGGTATTTTTACATATTCATCCTAATCAACGATTTAAATTATACTAAGTAAAGTAAGAAGTCAGATTTGGCGTAGGGAAGGCATTATTACCTTGTGAATGACATGAAACTAACTATGTTTATATCTGCCGACAAACTGTTAAGCAGTTTGGCAGATTAGTATTAAGTAAAATCGATGTAACTTTTATGAGACAATAAATTAAAAAAATAAAAATAAAGTAGTAGTGAGTGATATAACGGTCTTTAAATAAAAAATCCCTTCATCTCCTCAAGCCATAATTATGGCTATAGTGGGGAGTATAGGCTAAATCCTTCATTTGTTTCTGGTAAATTAGAACAGATTGTGGTCCTGCAGTTGGCTAAATGACCTGATTGATACCCTTGTTTCTGCCTTGTATAAGAGGAACGAGCCTAACTTATGCTAGCCAGACATGGGTCTTTACGGAAANCAGTTTCTAAGTTAGACGATTAATCCGGGAACACTTCGCGTCACGTCACTACACTGAAGTCACCCCGCCCACGCTGGTACAAACGCAGTGCGAAGGAGGCAGCACCTTGTTCAAGTTTAGCTACTTTGGGTGAGTCGTATTCAGTACCACTTCTACGCCTCATCCAGTTTCTAAGTTAGACGATTAATCCGGGAACACTTCGTGTCGCTACACTGAAGTCACTCCGCCCATGCTGGTACAAACGCAGTGCGAAGGAGGCAGCACTCTGTTCAAGTTTAGCTACTTTGGGTGAGTCATATTATTATATGTTTTTTTAATTTTTTTATGCATAACAAGGCAGGTATTTGACCACAATCGTTTATTCAGTTACTCCGTAACCATGGCGCTTGCAACAGTGCCGAAATATCAGAAACTCTAAATTAAGGTACATGGTAGTAATCCCGTCAGTAATAATAATTATGAGTCATGTTTAGTACCACTTCTACGCCTAATCTAGTTTCTTGGTTAGACGAAAAATTGACTGGGAGATAATAGTAAGTTATGACACTAAGTTCGCCTTTTGTACCCTTTTCTTTATGCAATAAAGTTGATTCGTGAATCATATCTGATACAGGAATAAAACTAAAATAATGCAGTGCACATTTACGTCGGATTAGACGCAAAATGTATCATACATTTTGTTGCGAATTTTCATTTGATGTGTAATTTTCTGTACATTAGTAAACTTATATGAGCGTGAAATTGTAGGTATTTGGTAACTGAATGACATGAATCATTTAAGATACATGACTAAAATTAAACACATTAAGAAATTATAATGCGGTATATTCTTACGATTTATTCTGTTATCAGTCCAACAGTTAACACTACGTGCGTAAAGGTGGGACGTCCACCTTCAAGGTGGACCGACGACATCATAAAGGTAGCAGGAAGGCGCTGGACGCAGGCCGCTACCAACCGGGCAGCATGGGAGAGCATTGGGGAAGGCCTATGTTCAGCAGTGGACGTCCTATGGCTGAGATGATGATGATGAGTTAACATTAAGGTGATGCCTTGCGAATATTGGGAGTTTTAAAGAAGCGCAGAATTAGTTTTAATCGTACTTTTCTTATTACTTATGTTCTTATTTTGAAATATGTCATAGTTGACCAATAAATCTAGTGTCTGGTCGAAGCCGAAACATGAATGGAAACAATTTTCTCGATAGAAAAAAAATACAAAGATGACCCTTCTATTACTCGGTTTTTCGTTTTATAAGCGGATAGGCTAATATTTCCATACCAAATTTTGTATATTGGTAAGGTAATAACATATTCTAAGTACTGGTCGAGTTATTTTCTTTAAATAGTGTTTGGTTTTTCAATAAATACATGATTTCAGATTTTTGTCGCTTACGTTATTTTATTCCGCGCCGCGCGCGCTATTGCTGTCCCTTTCCTCGCACTGAGAAATCATATTTCTATCCCTCTGTGTGCGAGGCATTCAGTCGGCCGAAAACTATTACGAGGTAGCGCCTTAACCCATACATTTGTCCGCAGCGAGCAAGCATACCTGACCCAAAGCTCGCAACTGTATCTCGAGACGTGTCTGGCGTCTCTCGGCGACGTGTACTGCATTGCGCAGTCCTACCGCGCAGAGCAGTCGCGCACGAGGAGACATTTGGCCGAGTAAGTATCTACTGGGTCACTAGACCTCCTTAGCTGAGTGATTTTTTAAGTCTATTGCAATTAGGCATGGAAATGATTGCTATTTTTCATTCATTTTCATTCTATGAAATGATGATTTTTTTTCATATGATTTCACATGCGAAATTTCACAGGCAATGATTTTTATTCGCAGTGTTTTAATGTAGCTCTTTCATAATATAATGAAGTATGAATTATGATGAAGGATTGCTAATTAGCTAAAATATGAAATGTAACAATATCTGTTTCATTTATGTCGCACAACAAAAAACAAACAGTTTCACAGCACATCAATAACCGCGCGACTAATGAAAATCATTCATTTCATCTGCCTGCTATCTAATGAAATCATACGAATAATGACAAGGAAATCTAAACCTTACTTCTTTGAGTTTAAAGTTCATATTTAAAATGCCCAGTTTCGTCCGTCATCACATCTCTTGTCCTTTTCTAACACGCACATGATCAAATCATTCCTTCTTACTCGCTCGGTCGCTTCGCAGAGCTGCGCTCACGGACTTATAGCAGTCTAAGTGAAGTAAAATAGCAGGTGTGATTAATGAAATTCATTTCATACGATTTTTCACCTGCTATTCATGAAATGTTCCATGCCTAATTGCAATCACTGTTTGAGTAAGGTCCTGTCACGGATGGCACCAACTAGTGAACTTCATTACCCTACTGTCCGAAAATAGAATTCCATGTAAGAAAAAACATAAAAATGCATGTCTATAAATAATAGATTTCATTAAAAATAAACGAAAAACTTTGAATTTTTTTCATAAAAGTGCAAATATAATGGTTAAATTCACTTTTAAAAATCATCGTTTTTAATCTTTTCAAATTATCTAAAACGCCATCCGCCATGACGGTTCCGTCGTGACGTCACCACGGTAATACTATCTATACAGTATTCCAACTCGGCCATATTTTTGAAATAAATGTCAACAGTCGCGCGGTACGTCACAGTATGACAACATGCGATAGGGCTGCCCACCTACAGTACCCAGTTTAATTACATCTGCCTACTTAGAATTTCTATATAGTTTTGTGATTGTATTTTTTTATTTAGTTAGACAAACAAAATACTTTGGGAATGGAATAGGCTAAAAATGTGTGTTGTTTTGTGATTAGTAGATTTAATTTAGTAAAAACTATTTAAATAATTTCGAAACTTTAATAATCATAATGATCTGTTACTTTAATTTCGGGCGGGCGAAGTCGTGGACAAAAGCTGGTTTGATACAATACAATTTTCATTTCAAATCAAACTGACTGAAAATAACAATTTGACTAGTTTTTGACCAATTTGACCATAAATGACACAATGACAATGAATGTCAAATTCACTCAGTTTTGTCATTTTTAACACTTGGCCACCGACGTCCATTCGGCACATTCGCGACACCCCCGACTTTTGCATACCGAGCGCATACCGAGATTTGAATTTCGAAAGAAAGTTCTCGTTTCGTCAGTTTATATGAAGTTACAATACTGTATGATATTATTACCGTGACGTCACTCCCTTAGTAAACAAGTAAATTTTGACTTGATTCATGTGTAAAAAAAAATGTTAAATTTGTTTGTGATGACATCACGTTATTGGATTCTTAAATTTTCTTTAATTAAAATCGCGTCATTATTTACACAATATTTGCTACTCAGTCTTTCGTAGTCTTATTGTTTACTAACGGAGTGACATCACGAGCCGAAACAGCATGGCGGCTAGCGTTTCCGCGCGAAAAATCAAAATCATATTTATATTTAAGTGTTTATGGCATTCATAGGCTTTTTTAAAATGTAAATAAAAATTCCACTGGTTCATTATAACCTTAGGATTGATTTACAACATAATTCAAAATAAGGTGTAAGACCCTATTAATAATGAATTCGTCCAACCCACAGATACAGCCACGTAGAGGCCGAGTGTCCCTTCATCACGTTCGAGGATCTGCTGAACCGGCTCGAAGACCTGGTGGTGGACGTGGTGGACCGAGTCCTAGCCTCGCCTGAGGGACAGCTGGTCTATGAACTGAACCCTAACTTCAAGGTAGGAAAGTATTAATTAAGAAAACACGTGATTTTTTTTAAACTTCTATGTTAGTACCAAATAGCATTTGAGCACTTTATTTATATTGAGCACCAGAATCACCACTTTTCAATCGGATTTTGACTCCTTATTTTTTGTTCTCAAAGACTACACAACATTGACTCTAAACTAGAAATGAAGGCCTAAATGTTTGAGCATTAAAACCATTTATTTTAATTAAGCTTTCAAATCCCGATAATGTATTTATTTATCAAAACAATTTTCATACACAGATATAAAACAGTCAGACTAAAAATAGGACAGAAATCAGCAGTTTCCACAGTTCATTCATAGATAAAAAATTAGATGTAAAAAACAATAAGAGCATGATTTTTTCCCTGTCTATGTACGTGGCAACGTGATGACATAAAGTAGGTTATGGTCATGATCAAAATTTTTATGCTACATTCTCAATGACATTGTAGTTTTAAATGTAAAAAAAATACCTCAATCTCACTCTTAAGGCCCAGAACAGACGGTGAAACGCAACTGCAACGAAACTGCAATTGCTAGTTACTTTTGAGTTGCATCTAAGTTTCTGCCATAGCGTCCGTTGAGAGACCACACATGACGCGACCAGTTTGAAACTTTCAACTAGCAGTTGCAGTTGGGCCTAAAACTAAACAATGTAGAACTCGTCTTTTGTATAAGTGTATGTATTGATCAGAATGACCACAATACATAGAACAGTACAGTGCATGTCATGGTTAACGTCCCCTCATATTGTCAAAGTCAAAGTCAAAATTTCTTTATTTGTTTAGACTAATAAATAGTTCTTACAAATCGTCATTTTGCTCTTAAGGAGCCTCTACATGTCTCATAATCTTTTTACCCTACCAGCGCTTCGAGACCAACATTTGGCAAGTGTTGAGAAAAAGCGCCGCAACAAACTCAGTCACCACTGTCAGCCGGTTAATATAAATAAATAGAAATAGCAGTAGTAGGTAAATTCGATTCAGGAGCAGTTCACTGAATTTACCATGCATTCTTGTATAGTGTATCTTATAATGGGTATAAAAAATTGCATGGTATATTAAACAAGATAGTGACGTGCTAATATCTAGTATCTGTTAACAACAAATGGCATCAACAGAAGCCGCAGAGGCCGTTCAAGCGCATGGCCTACACCGAGGCCATCGAATACTTGCGGGAACACAACATCACTAAAGAGGATGGGTCTTTCTACGAGTTCGGAGAGGTAAGGAGTTTATTACTTTAAATTATTTATAGGAAATAACTTTATATGAAGGGTAGACCAAACAGGTTCTAAAAGAGAAATCACTTGTAATGTAGGATGCCTCTCAGTTTCATGTTTGTTAAGAAATCCTGAAGAAGATAGTGGCTGGAAAAATTGCCCTTAGTTGCTTTATGAAAAAGCTCAAAACGAGGTCCAGCAGTGTACTGCATTTACTTTTAATTGAACTTAATTTAGATTTTATGGACGTGTGTCGCTGGACGCATGCCGTTACCAACCGGGCAACATAGAAAGTGTGCGCGCGTATGCGCGGGGTGAGTGTAATTAATGAGAGACGACACAATACTTGTGGTTGGAACGATGTTTATTGCTCCGATCAATTGTATTACACTGACTCAATTTACATGACAACTTATTTAAATAGAAGTTAATACATAGAAAACTTATGTGTGTATACGGCACATTACTTCCCCCTTTGAAAAGGAAATAAAATTAATAAGTATAAAGTAAGTTAAAAAAAACTATGTTAAAAAATTTGCTAAAAAAATAGTAACGTTCTATCCACATTTTTATTTATTATGTTTATACATTTTATATTGATTTTATTTCGTATACATTCATATAATTTTATTAATTAATAAGTAACGGATTACAAATTTATTAAAATTTCAAATGTTATACAATTCATGTCTTAAAAAATATATTATGCAAACGTGTTTATTAATTTTTATGCCATAAATTACAAGATTTGCAATGTTTTATAATATTGATACAATTTCCGTGAATTTAATTTAAAAATAAGAAACTAAGTAATGACACATTAATTTGAAAGAAAGTATGTAAAAAAATATAAGTCACATTATGTAAAGAACGTAATACCTAAATATTACAATTATTTTCGCTAATAAAATATTATGCGTATACATACCATTTAAATTACATTAGTACACAGTAAATACACATTTTGTTAAAATAAAATAGAATTTGCTATTTAAAAAAATATTATCTAATAGAGATACGCGATTACACTTGTTATACACTGAATTATTACACTTAGATTCACTGATAAATTGACTTTTGCACTGCACGACACAATTTCACTTTTATCCAATGACTTGCGAAGGTGCGTAGCCTTGGCGGCTGCGCCTGCCTTCAGCTCTGGTCGTGGGCTCGACGATGCAGGTAGGAAGCTCTTGGAGCTCCCGCCGCATGTATCTACCATAATTGTTTTTGCAGCGTCTCCATAAGAAATATCCAACGATGACGAATAGTATGACGACAGTTATTGTCGAATACATTTCCAAGCTTTGGAGCATCTGGCGATGGTGATTGGCTTCAGCAGCAGATGCAGAATTTCCAGCACCATTTTGTGCGATGATTATTTCTTCTTTTTCGATTTTGCTTGACCCTTTTCCCATGTTTAGATGAAATAAAGTTGACTGAATATTGACGAGTAGAACGTGACGTGATGTACGTAATGCTCGGGAACGAATAATTATAACGCAAAGCGTACGACAGGTTTGCTGATGCGTCCAAATCTTGTAACTATCGGATTGTTTACAGAATGCCTTTCCTTATTAGGTGAGAGCTCTTCAGACTCAATTGTAAATGCTGGCTTCAAGCGATCTATACTAACAACTTTTTCTGTATCTGCTTGCAATACTTTATAATATTTGTCCGATCTCTCTATGACTTTGAATGGGCCAAGATAAGGTGGCGTTAATGGTTTTCTTACTTTGTCGTCACGTACAAATACGTGTGTGCAGTCCAGTTTCTAAGTTAGACGATTAATCCGGGAACACTTCGCGTCGCGTCACTACACTGAAGTCACCCCGCCCACGCTGGTACAAACGCAGTGCGAAGGAGGCAGCACCTTGTTCAAGTTTAGCTACTTTGGGTGAGTCGTATTTAGTACCACTTCTACGCCTCATCCAGTTTCTAAGTTAGACGATTAATCCGGGAACACTTCGCGTCGCGTCACTACACTGAAGTCACTCCGCCCACGCTGGTATAAACGCAGTGCGAAGGCGGCAGCACTCTGTTCAAGTTAAGCTACTTTGGGTGAGTCGTATTTAGTACCACTTCTACGCCTCATCCAGTTTCTAAGTTAGACGATTAATCCGGGAACACTTCACGTCACTACACTGAAGTCACCCCGCCCACGCTGGTACAAACGCAGTGCGAAGGAGGCAGCACTCTGTTCAAGTTTAGCTACTTTGGGTGAGTCGTATTCAGTACCACTTCTACGCCTCATCCAGTTTCTAAGTTAGACGATTAATCCGGGAACACTTCGCGTCGCTACACTGAAGTCACCCCGCCTACGCTGGTACAAACGCAGTGCGAAGGAGGCAGCACCTTGTTCAAGTTTAGGTACTTTGGGTGAGTCGTATTTAGTACTACTTCTACCAGGCCTGTTCATCTCCGCGAGTTTACATCGAAAACAAAACAAGCACAATGACACCCTACAGGATTACTATTCGACAAGGCCTCACATACGAGCGAGCATTGACTCACGCACGCGTATTGTTGTGTATGATGGAAAAAAATAAATAAAATGGTGTACTAAATACTGTGCAGTATTTAACTGCCTAAATAATAATAAAAACAGAATGTACTTTTTTAAGTTGTCTGAAGACACTGAGAGGTAAATAAGTGGTTAATATTATTCATGATAATTCATGCTTAATCATTTATTTCCTCCGCCATTTTCTGCAGTTTGGCACCTCACGTCACACATCATTTTTACCGAAGTCAGCCCTATAGCTTCGGCGCAGTACTGATCACTGACGTTTGTCAACAAAATGGTGCTTGACTCTTGAGACAAGCTAAATTAAACCATATTGTTATTGACATTGAGCATACATTTTTTAATACCTTCGCGAAGTAAGCCTTGTGTACGTAGTACTTATTATTATTCTGTGCTTCTACGCCTAATCTAGTTTCTAGCTTAGACGAAATGTTGACATGGCATTTATACAGGGTGTTAGGTAAATGGGTATATGAGCCGACACTAGCCCATGTTAACATCCCAACTAATATTAATATTATAAATGCGAAAGTAACTGTCNTTTAGTCATAATATAACGTCCCTAATTAGTTGACCACGACTGTATATTGCCATCCCTCTCACGCAAAGTTAGATACCAGCATGAGCGACAGTGACAAATAGATCCGGAGATCTTCGATGGATCCATGAGGAGCTGTTGGAAGGTACGTTACTTGATGTCAAACATCGCATTCGCAGCACATCCTATAGATTCCAGAGCGCAAGATGACAGCGGGGTTACTAAGATGACAGCCGGGTTACTAAGATGACAGCGGGGTTACTAAGATGTTGCCATCCCTCTCACGCAAAGCGAGATACCAGCATGAGCGACGGTGACAGAAGACCCGAAACTTAGAGACGGCATTTCGGAGTAGACCTCTTACTCTGCAAGTTCCTGCCGGNTTTATATGACCATGTTAACATGGGCTCATATACCCATTTACCTAACACCCTATATAGTTCGCCTTTTTTACCCTCTTCTTTATGCAATAAAGTTGATGCCTGTATCATATCTGATACAGTAATAAAACTAAAATAATGGCGCACAGCACAGTTTACATTTACGTCAGATCAGACGCAAAATGATACAAAATGTATCGGACATTTTGTTGCGAATTTTCATTTGATGTGTAATTTTCTGTACATTAGTAAACTTATATGAGAGTGAAATTGTATTTAGTAACTGAATGACATGAATCATATATTATTATGATACATGACTAAAATTAAACACATTAAGCAATTATAACGCGGTATATTCTTACGATTTATTATGTTACTAGCGGCCGCCCGCGACTTCGTACGCGTGGACCTCGATAGTCCAGCGCTGTAGATTTTAACCAATGACGATAGATGGCGCTTTTTACCCACGTCTTATTTATTTATTGGAATTTAGTTTGTCATATATCGTCATAAATTATAGCCTATAATGTTAATCTGGGTTTCAACAAAATCCATTCAGAGTTTTGCGTGAAAGAGTAACAAACATCCAGACATCCACACAAACTTTCGCATTTATAATATTAGTAGGATTTATAATATTAGTAGGATTGTTATCAGTCCAACAGTTAACATTAACCCATACATTTGTCCGCAGCGAGCAAGCATACCTGACCCAAAGCTCGCAGCTGTATCTCGAGACGTGTCTCGCGTCTCTCGGCGACGTGTACTGCATTGCGCAGTCGTACCGCGCAGAGCAGTCGCGCACGAGGAGACATTTGGCCGAGTAAGTATATTCACAAATTGTATGTTACTCCCGTATTCACAAACATTACTATGAGGTCTCATAGTGAGCGTGGACGAACAGGATGAGACATGAACCAATCACAGAGCTCTATTCCACGCTGTGCGTTTGATTTGCTGTTCCACTTAAGCAAGCATCGTTTGTGAATACGGGCGTTAGACCTATAGACTAAGAGCTGGTGAACGCCAGACCTACGTCATTTTATAAAAGCTGAAAATTTGTCAGCGTATGCTTCCAATATTGGTTAGATAGAATGTTGGTGCATCATGAAGTTTGGGCCATCGTGGCTTTGGCAGCAGCTACCCGCAAAAGATTATCTGGCAAGCAGTTGAAACTGTCAAAACTGTCTGGCTGATTGAATGAATGAATGAATGAAATGAATTATTGCCCAAATATTATAATATACTAGCGGCCGCCCGCGACTTCGTAGGTGTGGATCCCGTTTTACCCCCTTATGGGTTGAATTTTGCAAAATCCCGTCTTAGTGAGCACCTACGTTCTAAAAAGAACCCCCATGCAAAATTTAAGACTCCTAGCACTTGTAGATTCTGAGATTTCGTGATGAGTGAGTGAGTCAGTCAGTCGGTGACCTTTCGCTTTTATAAATATTGATAAAAATCAGCTTTTATGGTATAACGTAACCTAACTTCTACGGTGGCCTTTGCTGTATATTCATAACTCTACTTACTTACTCGTACGTTTGTAGTGAACTTTATTGCCCTACTGTCTGAACTGATAAAAATGACTTTATCCACCCACAGATACAGCCACGTAGAAGCCGAGTGTCCCTTCATCACTTTCGAGGATCTGCTAAACCGGCTTGAGGACCTGGTGGTGGACGTGGTGGACCGAGTCCTAGCCTCGCCTGAGGGACAGCTGGTCTACGAACTGAACCCTAACTTCAAGGTAGGAAAGTATTAATTAAGAAAACACGTGATTTTTTTTGAAACTTCGATGTTAATACCAAATAGCATTTGAGCACTTGTCCTTTTATATTGAGCACCAGAATCACCCCTTCTCAATCGGTGTTTTACTCCTTATTTTTTGTTCTCAAAGACTACACAACATTGACTCTAAACTAGAAATGAAGGCCTAAATGCTTGAGCATTAAAACCATTTATAATTAAGCTTTCAAATCCCGATAATATATTTATTTACCAATATTTGGGAAATAAACAATTTTCATACACGCACAGATATAAAATAGTCAAGACTAAAAATAGGACAGAAATCAGCAGTTTCCACAGTTCATTCATAGATAAAAAATTAGATGTAAAAAATAAGTGCATGATTTTTTCCCTGTATATGTACGTGGCAACGTGATGACATGGAGTAGGTTATGGTCATGATCAAAATTTTTATGCTACATTCTCAATGACATTGTAGTTTTAAATGTAAAAAAAATACCTCAATCTCACTCTTAAGGCCCAGAACAGACGGTGAAACGCAACTGCAACGAAACTGCAACTGCTAGTTACTTTTGAGTTGCATCTAAGTTTCTGCCATAGCGTCCGTTGAGAGACCACACGACGCGACCAGTTTGAAACTTTCAACTAGCAGTTGCAGCCTCGTTGCAGTTGCGTTTCACCGTCTGTTCTGGGCCTAAAACTAAACAATGTAGAACTCCTCTTTTGTATAAGCGCATTTATTGATCAGAATGACCACAATACATAGAACAGTACAGTGCATGTCATGGTTAACGTCCCCCCATATTGTTAACAACAAATGCCATCAACAGAAGCCGCAGAGGCCGTTCAAGCGTATGGCCTACACCGAGGCCATCGAATACTTGCGGGAACACAACATCACTAAGGAGGATGGGTCTTTCTACGAGTTCGGAGAGGTAAGGAGTTTTAGTTTAAAATCTAAATAATGTATATAAAAGGAGAAACTGACTGACTGACATATCAACGCACAGCCTAAACGGCTAAACGTAGGTACTTGAAATTTGGAAGGCACGTAGCTTAGGTACCGTAAAGGTGCACTAAGAAAGGAATTCCCGAAATCCCCACGGGAACGGGAGTTAGCGGTAAAAAACATTTGTATGATAAAATCTAAACCGCGTAAGATAGATGAAGGGGGTAAAACGGGATCCACGCGTACGAAGTCGCGGGCGGCCGCTAGTGTTTATATAAATTGGGTTTATTTGAACTAAACTGACGAGGAGTTGGATCAACCCTGTTTAATCTATAAAAGCGAAAGGTCACTGAACACTGACTTACTCACTTATCACGAAATCTCAGAAACTACAAGTGCTAGGAGTCTCAAATTTTGCATGGGAGTTCCTTTTAGAATGTAGGTGCTTACTAAGACGGGATTTTGCAAAATTCAATCCCTAAGGGGGTAAAATGGGGTCCACGCGTACGAAGTCGCGGGCGGCCGCTAGTATTTTGTATTTTTGCGCATTGACAGTTCAATAATGTATGCGAAATAGTGACGTATTTGGCTTATATTGAGAGTGAATAGGCACTTACACGACAGATATGTACCATCCTAAATTGCATCTTACTTAACACCAGGTGTGATCAAATACCTGCCTTGACTTGCATGTAAAAAAAAGTTTAAAAATTTATGGGAAGTGCACCAAAATAAAAATAAAACTCAACTAACAGACAGTCTTCATAAAAGGTCTTGTACTCAGATCTGAAACATGTCAATAGGCTAGATGACAAAATTTCAATTATTTGTCCGTCAGACAGATAAAAAATTAGAAAATATTAGACTCATATTTTTTATTTTCTTTCATAATTAAATAATAACAGTGCTACATCGAGTTAAAATGGCGCGATACGTCACGCTTGAGTAGAATTTTTACTCAAAAGTGACGTCACGCGACATTTCAACTCAATATAATACTGTAATTATTCGATTATGGAAAAAAATAAAAAATATGAGTAATATTTTCTAAATATCTGTCTGACGGACTAAATAGAATTTCGATTTCATGACCCAGTCATCATCCCTATTAACTGTTTTCACACATTTCAGGACATTCCCGAGATGCCAGAGCGCAAAATGACAGACGAGATCGGCGTCCCGATCCTCCTGTGCAAGTTCCCGGCGGAGATCAAGTCGTTCTACATGTCCCGGTGCGACGACGACGAGCGGCTGACGGAGTCTGTGGACGTGCTCATGCCGGGCGTGGGCGAGATCGTCGGCGGCTCCATGAGGATATGGGGCCACGAGGAGCTCATGGAAGGTACGTGGGTTGGTGGCAAACAGCGCAGGACATACCACAGGTGACAGCTCAAAATGACAGCGGGGTTACTCCTAAATACGAAGCGAGCGAGCGAGCCACAGTGACAAATAGACCCGGAGGTCGTCGGCGGCTGGGATGGGACTGGTAGACTGTTTTACTGGAGTATAGGCTGTCCATGAGGATAATAAGGAGCTGATAAAAGGTACGTGGATTGTAAAAAATGTAACAAGACATCCCAGAGATGACAGAGCTCGAAATGACAGCAGGTTACTCCGAGAAACCGAAGTTCCTAATGTTGCTATCACTTTCACGCTTAGCGAGATGCCCGCATGAGCGACAGTGACAAATAGACCCGGAGGTCGTTGATGGATGCACGAGGAGCTGATGGAAGGTACGTTACTTGATGTCAAACATCGCATTCGCAGCACATCCTATAGATTCCAGAGCGCAAGATGACAGCGGGGTTACTAAGATGACAGCCTGGTTACAAAGATGACAGCCGGGTTACTAAGATGACAGCGGGGTTACTAAGATGTTGCCATCCCTCTCACGCAAAGCGAGATGCCCACATGAGCGACAGTGACAAACAGACGCGGAGCCCTCCTCCTGTGCAAGTTCCTGGCGGAGATCAAGTCGTTCTACATGTCCCGGTGCGACGACGACGAGCGGCTGACGGAGTCTGTGGACGTGCTCATGCCGGGCGTGGGCGAGATCGTCGGCGGCTCCATGAGGATATGGGGCCACGAGGAGCTCATGGCAGGTACGTGGATTGGTGGCAAACATCGCAGGACTTTACAGATTCCAGGGCGCAAAATTAGTCGTAATCCAGCGGGGTTACTCCAAAAAACGTCATCCGAAGTATCATATATTGCCATTCCTCTCACGCGAAGCGAGATGCCCGCATGAGCGACAGTGACAAATAGATCCGGAGATCTTCGATGGATCCATGAGGAGCTGATAGAAGGTACGTTATTTGATGTCAAACATCGCATTCGCAGCACATCCTATAGATTCCAGATCGCAAGATGACAGCGGGGTTACTAAGATGACAGCCGGGTTACTAAGATGACAGCGGGGTTACTAAGATGTTGCCATCCCTCTCACGCAAAGCGAGATGCCCGCATGAGCGACGGTGACAGAAGACCCGAAACTTAGAGACGGCATTTCGGAGTAGACCTCTTACTCTGCAAGTTCCTGCCGGAGATCAAGTCGTTCTACATGTCCCGGTGCGACGACGACGAGCGGCTGACGGAGTCTGTGGACGTGCTCATGCCGGGCGTGGGCGAGATCGTCGGCGGCTCCATGAGGATATGGGGCCACGAGGAGCTCATGGAGACCTCTTACTCTGCAAGTTCCCGGCGGAGATCAAGTCGTTCTACATGTCCCGGTGCGACGACGACGAGCGGCTGACGGAGTCTGTGGACGTGCTCATGCCGGGCGTGGGCGAGATCGTCGGCGGCTCCATGAGGATATGGGGCCACGAGGAGCTCATGGAAGGTACGTGGATTAGTGGCAAACAGCGCAGGACACACCATGGATCAGGACACAGGACCATGAGGAGCTGATGGAAGGTACGTAAATTGGTGTGAAACAACGCAAGACATTACAGATTCCAGGGCGCAAAATTAGTCGCAATCCAGCGGGGCTACTCCAAAAAATATCATCCGAAGTTTCGAATGTTGCCATCCCTCTCACGCAAAGCGAGATGCCAGCATGAGCGAGGGTGACAGAAGACCCAAAACTTTGAGACGGCATTTCGGAGTAGACCTCTTACTCTGCAAGTTCCCGGCGGAGATCAAGTCGTTCTACATGTCCCGGTGCGGCGACGACGAGCGGCTGACGGAGTCTGTGGACGTGCTCATGCCGGGCGTGGGCGAGATCGTCGGCGGCTCCATGAGGATATGGGGCCACGAGGAGCTCATGGAAGGTACGTGGGTTGCTGGCAAACATCGCAGGACATTACAGATTCCTAGGCGTCAAATGACAGTCGCGATCCAGCGGGGTTACTCCGAAAACCGTCATCGGAAGTTCTGAATGTTGCTATCCCTTTCACGCAAAGCGAGGAGCGACATTGACAAATAGACTGTTTTACTGGAGTATAGGCTGTCCATGAGGATATGGGACCACGAGGAGCTCATGGAAGGTACGGCAATTGGTGTCAAACAGCGCAGGGCATTATAGATTCCAGGGCGTCAAAATGAGTCGCAATCCAGTGGGGTTACTCCGAAAAACATCATCGCTTTCGCAGCACATCCTAAAGATACCAGAGCGCAAGATGACAGCGGATTACTAAGATGTTGCTATCCCTCTTACGTAAAGCGAGATACCAGTATGAGCGACAGTGACAAATACACCCGGAGGTCGTCGGTGGATCCATGAGAATATAGGACCACGAGGAGCTCATGGAAGGTACGTGGGTTGGCGTCAAACAGCGCAGGACATACCACAGGTGACAGCTCAAAATGACAGCGAGCATACTCCTAAATACGAAGCGAGCGAGCGAGCGACAGTGACAAATAGACCCGGAGGTCGTCGGCGGATCCATGAGGATATGGAACCACGAGGAGCTCATGGAAGGTACGTGGGTAGCACTGGTAGACTGTCTTATTGGAGTATAGGCTGTCCATGAGGATAATGGGACCACGAGAAGCTGATAAAAGGTACGTGGATTGGTGTCAAACATCGCAGGGCATTACAGGTTCCAGGGGGCGTGGCGTGAGTTTACGTCAAACGCAAAAAAGTGACATTAAATGTATGACAGATTGTACAGCGCCCCTTGCGGAAACTTTCAAGAACTAAATTTCCTAGTGGATCCATGAGGATCTGAGACCACGAAGAGCTCATGGAAGGTACGTGGATTGCTGTCAAACATCGCAGGACATACCACAGGTGACAGAGCTCAAGGTGACAGCGGGGTTACTCCTAAAAACGAAGCGAGCGAGCGACAGTGACAAATAGACCCGGAGATCGTCGGCGGCTCCATGAGGATATGGGGCCACGAGGAGCTCATGGAAGGTACGTGGGTTGCTGTCAAACAGCGCAGGATATACCACAGGTGACAGAGCTCAAGATGACAGCGAGCATACTCCTAAATACGAAGCGAGCGAGCGAGCGACAGTGACAAATAGACCCGGAGGTCGTCGGCGGCTGGGATGGGACTGGTAGACTGTTTTACTGGAGTATAGGCTGTCCATGAGGATAATAAGGAGCTGATAAAAGGTACGTGGATTGTAAAAAATGTAACAAGACATCCCAGAGATGACAGAGCTCGAAATGACAGCGAGGTTACTCCGAGAAACCGAAGTTCCTAATGTTGCCATCCCTCAAACGCAAAGCGAGATACCAGCATGAGCGACAGTGACAAATAGATTGAGGATATGGGATCATGAGGAGCTGATGGAAGGTACGAGGATTGATGTCAAACATCGCATTCGCATTAGTGATGTACTAGGCTCGAGGCTTACGAGTCCTTTTGCCGAGAGCTCAGAGTCGTTTACAGGGCTCGCCTCGTTTGTATGAAGCTCGACGACTCGGAAGTCTTTTTTAGAGTTCGAGCCTTTTTCGGGGCTCGCCTCGTTTGTATGAAGCTTGGAGTCTTTGGCAGAGCTCGAGCCTTTTTGAGAGCTCGAGCCTTTTTGAAAGCTAGAGCCTTTTTGAAAGCTCGAGCCTTTTTGAAAGCCCAGTTAACTTTTGTACTAAGATCGTTCTATTGAATAAAACTGCAGGAATTCTGATACCTACAATAAAATACATACATGTTTGAAAAACGCATAGCGGGGCTACTAAGAAAAAAACATCCGCAGTTTTGAATGTTGCCATCCCTCTCCTGCAAAGCATCTCGCCCGCATGAGCGACAGTGACAAATAGACCCGGACGTCGTCTGTGGATCCATGAAGATATGGGACCATGAACTGTTATTTACAAACTTGAGCCACTAATTTATCTTGCCAGTATCAAGGGTTATAGACCCAATATACTGAACTTTCCTACCCGTGACATTGACAGCGGGGCGCCACCGTCAATACGGGATCGCTGGTTCCGATTTTTGCCATGTTGTAAACTATGTAGTTGAACGATGGTGGCGCCCCCTTGTCAATGAGTTTGGTGGGACAGTTCAGTTTAGGTCATTTATACCTTTCTAGAGTCTATTATTTTATTTAGCAAGAAAAAGGCAAAGGCATAATGCCATACAGCCAAGTCTCCAATATTCATAAATCTTTACTTTTAAACATTTTACGGGTTAAACTTTGTTTTTTTTTATCCCCAGGCTACAAGCGCGAAGGCATCGACCCGTCGCCGTACTACTGGTACACGGACCAGCGCAAATTCGGCAGCGTTCCGCACGGCGGCTACGGACTCGGCCTCGAGCGATTCCTGTGCTGGCTTCTGGATCGCTACCACATTCGCGACGTGTGCCTCTACCCGCGCTTCCTGGAGCGCTGCACGCCATAAACTGATTCTTAATTCAAATATAACGCTTCTGACTGTCTTTTGTTTTTTCTTTTTTCGATTTTCTTTTCGTTTGCAGCCTTGCAGGATTCTGGCCAGTGTCTTGATTTATTCTATGACGTTCGAAAAGCAAGACGCATTCTTTATTTTAAAAATCTGTTGATTTTGACGATTATTACCACAGCCTTTTGTTTACGCTCAGGAGTTTTTTGTTTGCTTCTTTGNCAGCAGCAGATGCAGAATTTCCAGCACCATTTTGTGCGATGATTATTTCTTCTTTTTCGATTTTGCTTGACCCTTTTCCCATGTTTAGATGAAATAAAGTTGACTGAATATTGACGAGTAGAACGTGACGTGATGTACGTAATGCTCGGGAACGAATAATTATAACGCAAAGCGTACGACAGGTTTGCTGATGCGTCCAAATCTTGTAACTATCGGATTGTTTACAGAATGCCTTTCCTTATTAGGTGAGAGCTCTTCAGACTCAATTGTAAATGCTGGCTTCAAGCGATCTATACTAACAACTTTTTCTGTATCTGCTTGCAATACTTTATAATATTTGTCCGATTTCTCTATGACTTTGAATGGGCCAAGATAAGGTGGCGTTAATGGTTTTCTTACTTTGTCGTCACGTACAAATACGTGTGTGCAGTCTTTTAAACCAGAATGTACGAATATTTTGCCTTGTCTGATTTCTCTTCTAGGGACAGCGCATAAGTGTGAAATTTTCTGTCGAAGGTTTTGTAAGAAAGTTTCGTTTTCAGAGATATCTTGCGTTGACGGCTGAAAGAAATCTCCAGGTAACCTCAGTACTTCGCCATAAACTAATTCGGCGGCGCTTATTTGCGTATCGTCGCGTAAACTTGCTCTTAAGCCCAAAAGTACGGCAGGTAATTCTGTAACCCAATTATCTGTGTTTCCTCGGCAAATTAAAGCTGTTTTGAGCATACGATGCCATCTTTCTACGAGTCCATTCGACTGAGGGTGGTAAGCAGTGGTCCTAATTTTTGAAATGCCCATTTTCTTCGCAAGGTGGCTAAATAAACACGACTCGAATTGCCTACCTTGATCTGTGGTTAGACGTAATGGACATCCGAATCTCGAAATCCAGCCTGAGAATATGATGTTGGCTACAGTCTCGGCTGTGATATCTTTTACTGGATAGGCCTCTGGCCAGCCTGTACCTCGATCCACCATGGTTACTATATAGCGATAGCCATCACAGTAACTTAAGGGTCCCACTATATCCATATGAAGATGTTCGAATCTGTTGCTATGCACGAAGTTGCCAAACGGTGATGTTGTATGACGTTGGACTTTGGACTTTTGACAGTTTAGGCAAGATCTTGTCCACTTGGTAACGTCCTTATTCATCGACTTCCAAAAGAATCGATCGCGAATCATGTTTCTAGTGGCGCGAATACTTGGATGACTGATTTCGTGAATCGCTTTGTAGGCAGATATCCGAAACTGTGGAGGCAAATATGGTCGCGCTGTGTCTTTCGATACTTCGCAATATATGGGTATGTCACAATTAGGTAGAAATAATTGTTTCAATTTAATTGTGTTCGATTGCATCATTTCTTTCAGTTGTTCATCATTTACTTGAGCTTTGGCAATTTCCTTGTAATCTATTGGAGATGGCGTTTCTAATGTTTCTATAGATGAAATTCGTGACAAAGTATCTGCGACAACGTTATCTGTTCCAGTTATATGATGAATCGATGAGCAAAATTGCATGATGAAATCTAGATGCCTTATACGGCGAGGTGTGTCATTTTTGCCAACTGAATTGTTCATTAACGCGTAAACCAACGGTTTATGGTCGGTGTACACGATTAAGTTTCTGCCTTCGATGAGATATCTAAAATGTTTGATAGCCATATATATTGCTAACAACTCACGGTCAAATGTACTGTATTTTTGTTGTGCGTCACTGAGTTTTTTGGAGAAAAATCCTAATGGTTTCCATTTGTTTCCTTCTTTCTGCTGTAAAACTGCTCCAGCGCACGTATTAGAACAGTCGGTCATTAAGGCAATCGGTGCAGGTAATCTGCGGGTCCGCTGCTTCGCGACCAATAGTGGATAAATCAGGTGTGGAACGGCACTCTTGCCCCGAAGTTGATTTAACAGGTGAATGTAACAGGCTCATTATTGCATAAGCTTGTCCACGGCTCAGTAAAATAATTTCTTACTTGTGTGCGCGCCGTTGTGTTCGGGCACGGGTTCGGGCGATGAGTCAGGCGAGCAGTAGATTCGCGTCGAAAAATACGGGCACTGATTTAAACGAATTTGATTTTTAAAATTTAACGAATACAGTCGAATTTAAAATGCCAAATTATAGATATTTTGTTAAGAAATCGGACACACGTCTGCCTTTGACGGCGTCGAACGACGAAGACTCATACATAATAAAATAGAATAGTCCTACCAAGTATGGAGAGGTCACTTTCAATGTGTTACTTTTACTGTTCTAACCATAGTGGACAAAATAAGCAGTGTACATAGGTAGGTAACGCCATGTAACGCCTAACCGATAAATACAATCACAATTTCACATGATTATTTTATTGCCCTTTCATTTTATTAACTTTTCAGGGCAAACAATCTGACAAGCCTTCTTCAGGGCACATAAACGTCCTTAATTTAACTTGCTCTATCATCAGTTCAAGACAACATAATCGATTGTGGCTGAGAAGGTTTAGAGATGACGATGATGTAATAATCTGTGTCAGTCTTTTGTTTATCATAAAGATTATTTGTTCAGTTGTTTTTACCTGATGCCTTTGAAGCTGTAGTACGGTGCCTGCGCGGCAGTCCTGGTGGCGAGCTGGCGCCCGCGCAAGGCGCCGAGCTGCGTGAAGACGATGGGCCCGCCGCCCACGCGCATGCGGTCCACCAGCGCGTGCACGAGACGCGCAGCGCGCGCTGGTACGGCCTGCAGCCGTCGTAGCGCGTGCTTCAGGCCCACGCTTTCGCTCACTGTGCTTGACAGTCGCCGCCATGCTCCCGTTATCTTCAAACAAGGAGAAATTGATGAGTCTTTCTTATTAAATAAGGTAAAGTAAGGTAGTAGGGTCGTGAACACTTATGGGCCCTTTGCTTACAAAGCTTTTTTCAGGCATCGTCGACGCGCATTTGCAATTGAAAGTGTTTTGTAAACGATGTTATTACCGTGATCGCAAAATGCGAAATGCTGAAAATAACGTAGTGTACCTACTACATTGCTCTAGGTCTTCAAACTTACAGCATCAAGTTACATAAAAGAATATTCGCTCCGGCTATCATGAGCATACAAAAACAAGAAGTATAACTTAGTAGTATCTACCTACTACCTGTATCTCATGCATTTAATCATTTGTTATTGCATCTATTTTTATGTATCGAATCCATTTTCTTGCATATTAAAACATGATTCAGAGTTGACGTTACTCGTACTTTATCTGCGGTATAGTTGTGCTTGAATAAGGCTTTTAGCAAGATGAATGAAATAGTTACGTAAGTAAAAATGGGTAAGCGCACATTTCATAAGTGACATACGAATATAGTGGACGGTAAGTAGAATGAGATTATAAATTTCATAAATAGGTACAATGGAGACAACGCCACGGTTCTTATTTTTAAATAACGTTGTTTTCTCAATCTTACGGTGTAGCAAGGTTTAATGCAATTTATAGTGAACATTGCAGCCCTCTTGTGTGGCACTTTATGGATCGCCTTAATTGGATTTAAAGAATAAGTACTTACAACTTATATTTAAATATGGTGAAAATTACTTTCCAAATAATATATTCGTTTAAGAATCAATTAAGCACCATGTTAGTAAGATGATTTTACCCTAATTGGATAACGCTTAAATCAAAAAACAGTTTCACTCTTCATGTGTATTTCTGTATTAAGTAAGGACACAAACCCGATTATTATTCTCACTATTCAGACACTTTTGAACAATAAGGCAAGCCGATAATAGTGTTTGCGTGTTCATAAATACGGTGATCAGGCTATTTAAATCAATTTGAGCGCGCTCAGGCCTTTGAGGCGACAGTTGAGTGATGGTTAATAACTACTTACATATCTGTGTCAAACCTGAAATCGAGAAAGGCATGTTCATAAAGAATCAATATTTCATTATCTTAAAAGCTCAGAGCTCTAAATTCTCATGTGCGAGCCATACAATTGCATGACTCGCGATTAATAAGAAAGCCAGCCATATCATATAGTTATCTATACCACCTATACGTATTACGTGCAGGCATACACGAATTATACGAACTGTTTTTATGATAAAATAAAAACAATATAGCTACACAACTGAATTCTTAGTAGGTAAGTAAATTAAAAGAGAATGAATATAATAGTCTGCAATCACTTACTATTATTTCTTTGACTTTGTAGTTAGTTTCCTTACCGAAATTACATTTTCAGTTTCCTGAATAATCTTAAATAGAGAGAGAGAGATAAGTACATACTACAGCTTCTGTTTTGACTAACTAATATTCTGAAAGAAAAACTAAGAAGACTTAAAAATAAATTATTTATTCATGAATTTACTTATAAAAATAATTTTCAACCATACCTTGTGTAACCACGTTACATATTAAAAGTAACAAATGTATAGTTCAATGCATTAAATTAACATTATATGCAGTTAGTATATGTAGCTAATAAAATTTAATTTGTCAATTCTTAACAAAGGTATTTGAAACTTGTTTTCTGAAGTTGCTATACAAGTATTTGATTACAGCTACGCTCCAGATCCTCTAATTATGCTTGAGACGTCCAACAAAACACTTTATACTGGCAGTGCGGATAGTAATCTACATACCACTTATCTCGCTCAAGTGTCCACGAAAAGCCCAAAGAATGTAAGCAAATAGGCTAAATTCAGGGACACGAGTTGTTCATGAATTGTGCCCGATTCCGTGGTTTTATGATACCAATCCAACAATAACTCGCCATTACTCGAGATCTGTCACCAAATCTCAAAGTAAACTGATCTTCTGATTATTAGGATAAACTTACAAAGTTGATGTAATA